ATTGCTAATTCTAGAATACGTAACCTTACTAAGCTAACGGAGGCGCCTTCGACTAAATTACTTCCGGGTTTGCCGATACGCGTTCGATAATAGTAGAAGGCGTTGTCGCCTCTATATACTTCTTATAAACATACTAGTATAGAAGGTTGCCTAACTTAAATCGCTGCCTATAGACCTTGTAAGCGTGCTTCGTAGAGGCAAATAGTTAGATCGCCGCTAGTAGGGACGCTTTAGCCTATAGTACCGAGTTTAACGCTAATAGTAAGCAGTCGCCTACGCTCGCAAAGTAAGCTCCTAAGCCCGGATCGGAGTCGTATAGGTCGGTAAAGTAGTCGGCGTCTTCTCCGGCGTTACTAAAATAGCTACAATTATCTACGTCGGTTCTCCTATTATTATCCTAACTATCCTCCTAATAGCCGTCGTCGGCTTAGTTAGTATTATTTATAGTATTGCCTACTTTCTTACTATTATCGGCAAAGTTAGCCTACTTACAAGCTCGATCGTTACGCTTTCTATCCTATCGATTAAATAGGCGCGAATCGACTCGCTTTAAGTCTTTTAGGAGGAAGGTAGGGCTACTATCCTTTAACGGTCCTTTACTATTTCCTACCGGCGGTAGGCGATTCTACTAAGGGGCATTAGGTAGGCGATTCTGCTAATAGGCGTTAGTAAGGCGTAGTAGGTTCGGTCGGTCGATATCGCGGTTCTAGTAGTTAGAGGATGCTCTTACTAGAGCGAAGCTCGCTAGAGTATAAGAGGCGTTCCCTTCGTATTAGTTCTACTAGGTAGCCTTACTAGCGCGGCTATTATTCCTAGTCGTAGCGTCTTAGCGACGATTAGACGAGAACGAAAGCATATACTCCTAGATTAATGCCTACTTCTTATAGTATATAACCTACTTATCGACCTTTATACGACAATTTAGCTTGTTTATATTTAATTAGAGGCGCGGGTCTATTCGATAGTAAGCTTCTAAGAGCCGGTTCGATTTCCGTACGCCGGTATTCTTAGCGAGTCGTACCGTCTTAATAATAAAGTCTATTACTAAACGCCCTAAAGCGATATCCTACTAGTTATAGCGTTACTTATCGAGGAGATCTATCGCCTTTATCGGAGGGACCTTCTATTTCTTACTAAGATAACGTTCCTAGCGCTTTAGACCGTATCCGCCGCGGAGCTTTACTTAGCTACAGCTAGAAAGGCAACTATAATACTAACTAAGCGCTACCTCTCGAAAGTAAAAAGAGAGGTTAAAACGAACCGTCTCTTGCCCTATAATATAAGTATAATTCTTAGCCGCTTCGATAAAAGCATATACCGAACGGTATATTATCTTGTTCCTAACTAAGGCGTAGTCTCCCTCGCTATAATCCGTAACGCTAAGTAGAGGATCGAAGAACCTAAGATACGCTAGATCGAACTATAGCCGCTAGAGGCGGGCGTAGTACCCCTAGACATAACTCGCTTTAGAAACTAGCGATTCTGCGACGTAGTCCTAATAATACTAATAGTATCTACGACGGCGGGCGTGTCTATAATAACTAGTATCTAAGGAGCTATTGTTATCCGACGAGGATTAATCGGAGTCGTCCGAATCCTTACTATCTAATAAGGATCTATCCTTACTTAGATTATCCCTATACCGACGGTGCTTTCGGCGTTGCTTCTTACCTTTCCGTAGTAGACCCTATAAGTCTAATAGTAGAAAGGGCAAAGGCTAACCCTACGTCGGCTTACGAGAGGAATTACCTAGATCGAAGTTACTAGATAGCGGTAGTAGAGGATCGTTAGGAGGATTACTAGGTAGATTACTAGGAGGATTACTAGGCGGATTGCTAGGCGGATCGCCTAGCGTAAACCTGCCCTAACGTAAGCGGCTATACCTACGGGCATTTATATATACGTCTGCCCTCTACTAGTAATTGTATTAACCTAGGTTTAGCTAGGGCGGACTTAGCTTACGCGTAGTCGATAGCGGTAAAATCGCCTATTCTATTAGAAAGTCTAATACGACTTCGTTAAAATAGACTCCTCTCCGTCTAGCTAATTCGCGAAGATAATTATAACGCTAATAGTTTTGTTATATAGCGATGTTCGCCCTATCGATCTCCTCGGTTGTTTGCGAGGCATCTACTAGGGTACGATATTAGAAACGACTACGCGGCTCGTTAGCCTATAGGTCGGCGAGGCCGTCGTTTATTAGAGGCAATTAGCCGCGACCGATATCCTAGAACAGCGACGTCGATAGATCGGAAGGCCTAGTTAACGGTTCCTTAGGGAAAGTCTTAGGTAGAGGCCCCCTTAGCTTCTAAGGATTCTCGTCCGCTAGGTATCGTAGCTTAAGTAGCCTCTATAAGAAAACCGATTTAAGCGAGCTATTAGGCGAACCGAGACGCTATTCTAGCGGTACGGTTGTTTCTATCGTAGTAATAGGCGAAACCGTAGGCCGCGGTAGAACTTAAGCCGGTTAGGCCGGTAGGCGCTACTCTACTATAGATAGTAGATAGATCTCCGAGTAGAATTAACGGTAATAGCGTAAATCGCGTACCGTTAGGAGCGCGGCTTTAAGCTCCTTAACCGATTTAGTTAGAATTCCTTTATCTACTACCTACTATCCTAGGAAGTTGTAACCGTTAAGGGCGTCTAGGTAGAGTTCCTCGATTTTAGCCTATAGAGGCGGCGGATTTCCTACGAGCGGGTAATAGTATAGAACGTATAAGGCAAGCAAGTCGATTCGGCCGTGCTTTGCCCTAAGCTAGGTCGCGAAGTTCTCGCTATAATCGACGTAGTTCTAAATATAGGAACAGATACGTAGGATATAGGGCTCTATATCTAGCAATCCGAGATTATAGTACTAGGGCAGCGGTTAAACCGCTAGCTTAGCTAATTTCGAGGCTTCTACTAGAGTTAGAAGCGAGTCCGAAGGAGCTATAGCAAGCGGGTAAACTATTAGTAAGAGGGTAGAGGCGAGATAGTCTCTAAACGGAGGACAATAATAGAGAACCGACTAAAGGCGGAGGAGCGTAGCTTATCGGGGCAGGTCCTCTTAGGGAAAGCGGCTATCCCTAGACCTAGGTATAGTAGGCAATTGCTACTAAAGGTAGAAACTACTACTACTGTCTCCTCGGGGTACTAATAGGATCGCCGATAAGGCGCTCGCGCGTCGGTAGGATATAGTACGGAAGGGTAGTAAATCGAATAGGTACCGTCGTAACGGGTAGGAGTTAAATCGTAGTAATCGGCGGAAGATCGGTAGGACCTATAGCTAATCGCGTCGATTCTCGTCGTAGCTATAATAACTAGGGTCGATTTAGGTAGAGGACTAGTAGTTAGTATAGAAGTTAACTAAGTGTTAAGCGAAGCTACTAAGTTGCTAGGTATACGGTTATAGTACGAAGGTATCGTAACGGTTATACGGTATAAAAGTTAATATATTCTCTAAGGTACCGCGAGGCAAGCTATCTATATAATAGTCCTACTATTAGTAGTAATAGCGACCGTAGCGGTCGATAGTAACCGCTGCCTACTATTGTATATATAATAGTATTATATCGTAATATCTTCTTATCTAGTAGCCGCTTTGTAACGTTACTAACGACTAAACTAGCCTTAGTAGCGGCTAGCGCATTAGCGCGTTACTCGTCCGCTAGTTTCTTCGCTAAAGTACGTTCTTCCTTACTATCCTTTACTACCTCTACGACTATTAATACTATCGGCTCGAAGACCTTCTATAACGACTTTATAATAGTTAGATTCTTCTCGTTTATATCCTCCGCCTTCTTATAAACCCGATCGGCCTCCTTCTATATCTTCTTTTAATGCTTTTCCGCTGCCTTAGTAGCGCGTAATACTATTAATTGCTCTTCCGTAAAAGGCGCGGAAGCCGCGCCTTCTACCGTAACTTTAACCTCCGATTCCTTACTCTTACTACCCTTATCCTCGCTTTCTTTACCGAAGGCCTCGTTAGTCGCTATATAATCGCCTATAGCTACCTCTAAGCCGATTAATTCGTCTATAATATCGAAGTGCTCTAGCAATTTATTACAGAAAGAAGTATACCTTAGATTCTCGTCGAAATAGGCGTCTTCTACGTCCGACTCGGCGGTTAGAGGCATACTATTCTAGCTACTTATATACTTTAAGTAAGCAATCTATATAGTCTAGTCCTTCTTAATTAACGACTACTTATTCTTTAGATAGTCTATAGTACGCTTAGTACTATATTTCTTGTTTATTAACGTAGCTAGGTCTCGGAGGTTACCTAACTAGAAGTTATTAGTATTAGTACTACGGCTAATCTTCTTAAACTCGTTTAACTAGTCGAGGAAGTACTTAGTCTACTCTTAAGTCTACTATTGTAGCGCTTTACGCTACCTATCTTTATTAATAGGTATTATAGTCGCCGTACGCTTCCGAGTCGCCTTTGCCTTTAAAGAAGGTGTCTTTAATAAAGCCTAAGAGGGCTAAGAATCCGTCGATTAAGAGACTATATTTGCTAGTATTCGAATAGCTTTAAACTAAGAGACTAGCTGCTCGACTAACCGTATATTTATATAGTAACTATACTATAAACTACACTCGCCGAAGCACTCGTCCTCCCTACCCTTCGCCCGCTAATTTACTACCTACTACGCTATTATCGATATTATTACAAATACTACTAGAAGCTATATAGCCTACTATAAAGAGGTGGAGTATAGCTGCCGAGCCGGAGGCTTATTATGTGGGTCTTAACACCTGGCACTATCTCATAGATAACCGATTATAAGTCGCCATAATCTAAGCCGCTTATAAGGTTATTATAATCTCTCGGTTTACGCCATAACCTGTTGCAAGTAGACAGGGCCTCAGCGACGCGCGCAAGACACTACTCCTCTACAACACCAGCACAGTGCATGGACAGGACAATATCGCAGAGTGCAGACAGCGACATCGACGACTTCAAAATCAAAGGAGCTGCGAGATCACAAGCAACGGCAGCCCACAAGCCGCAAGAATCCTGCACGATATGCCTTGAAATCATCACAGAACGGGCAGTGGCCACACCCTGCAACCACTTGAGCTTCGACTTTCTATGTCTAGTATCATGGCTACAAGAGCAGTCAACATGTCCGCTATGCAAGGCGGAAGTCAAGGAAGTGCACTATGACTGGCGAAGTCCCCACGACTACAGCACATACCATGTCCCACCGAAAGAGTTGAAGGCATCGACAACTCAAGGACCGCAAAGAAGGCGTATACCTCTCCGAAGACGAGCGCCGCCTCGATATGCTCGCATACCGCCTCCGAGCGATGACGTGGAGCGACGTAGACAAGTCTACCGAGACCAGTCATATTCTCTCCGCGTTGGCGCAAATCGTATATCCCAATATCAAGATTTCACGGTGCAGGAATTTGCTACGTCACCAGAACTACAGTCGCGAGCGAAGACATTTCTACGGAGGGAACTACAAGTCTTTACGTTTCTTGACAGCAATCCAAGAGCTGGGAATCGTGGCTTTCTGATGGAGTATATTGTTGCTGTGCTGAAATCGAATGAGCTGAAGGGAGCGGATGGAAAAGCAGAGGAATTGCTCGCAGACTTCCTCGGGCTTGACAATACGCGTCTCCTGTTGCATGAGTTGGAAGCGTGGTTGAGAAGTCCGTATACGAGGCTGGAGGATTGGGATAGGCATGTACAGTACGCGAGAGGAAGTCAGCGTACCCAGAAAGCATATTGACGCTAATTTCTGAGCAGCGTATGTCATGATATTTCAGTATGTCAGCGTTTGCAAACGTCAACCGCGTTGTTTTCCGCCGGACGCGCCTCCGAGCGCTTCTTAGAAACCCATTGCATGGCAGTCTGGAGTGAGGCCAACGACACCGGCACCGTGAAGTAGTAATCCAAAGTTTCGAAATGAGCGTTGCCACAGCAGTCTCAAACTCGAGCTTCATTGACGAAGTAGCCTTGCATTAAAGCAGCTCATGAGACGACCACACCCTATCCATCAACGTCAACCAAGACTTGGACGCATTGATCCAACAGCCGCCTCCAAGTGAGTTTGATATCCGCATCAGCATCATCCTCGAGACGACCCGTCAACGTCTGCCGATCACCTATAATAATAATCCCAGCTCTCGCTCTAGTCACGGCGACGTTGAGTCGACGCAAGTCCTTAAGGAAGCCGATCTCGTAATGTACATTGCAACGCACCGTTACAAAGACAACGATATCCGCCTCACGACCCTGAAACCCATCAATGCTTGAGACGATCAACTCTCCGGGAAGCTCGCTTGACAATCTCAATCGCTGCCGAGAGTAAGGCGTGAGAATCGCAATACTCGTGTCATCTTTCATCGCGTGCGAGTCCCTCGTGAGAAGAAGCCTGCAAATTTCCCGACAGAGTGCAATCTGCCCCTCATTCGATTTCGACTGATGTCCCAGGTCTTCCGACGTAGAACACTGCACGAAAACCTTCCGACTTTCTCCTGGCCAGGGAAAAGCAGAGCTCGGAAGCCTGATCGAACCACCCATCGCTCGATCCGAATACAAACGTCCGAAATAAAATTCTTGGGAACTGAATTTACAGATGTCCGGATGCATTCTATACTGCGTATCCAGCATGACTTTCGCAGAAGAAGAAGAGGAAGAGGAAGAAGAAGCGGTGTAATGTCTCTCAAACAACGAAACATCAAACCCCGACAGGACGGAATGTTTCTGAACCGTCGCGCGAAGCTGGACATGGTCGCCGACGAGTATCGCTCTTCGACAACCTTTCGTCAAAGGCACGAGTGTTTCTGCCTCAGTTTGCTGCGAGGCTTCGTCTACGAGCACGATGTCGAAGTCCTCGCTCCGCAGCAAACCGAGCCCTGCGCCGATACATGTCGTGAAGATGAGACGGCTTTGCGTGACTCGTTCCTGAGCTTTTCGTCGTCCGCTGTGCGAGTCTGTGAGATCTTGGCCTACGAAGGCGTCGCATGTGAAGGCGTGTAGAGATGAGGAGACTTTGCTGAGCTGAGGAGTAGTTAGTCGATAGGTGGTACAAGAGTTCTGTGATAGAAGGAGAGAACTCACATCTGTGGCTACTCGGAGAGGTTTGTAGGCAAGAGCTTTCGAACTCTTCTCGATAAATTTTTGTAGCATGTTGTCCACGGCATTATGTGTCGGGGCCGTGGCTAAAATTCTTGACGCGGGAAATTTGACAAGCAGGTTTTGGAGAATGATTGCGATTGTGTGAGTCTTCCCAGTTCCTGGAGGGCCCCAGAGAAAGAGCAGGCGATGCTGCATTGCGGCTTGCAGTGCTTTATTTTGACTGTTGTTGAGCAGTGGATGCATTGTTCCGATGATTTTACTACCCTCGTTCACGTCTTGTTTCTTGACTGACGGAGGGAAGCCAACGAGTAATTTGTACAATGGACAGCATACTTCCTTGCTTCCATAGAATCTCGCGACGGCGTCAAACATCGCTTTACTCGTGACGAAAGATCCGCAGTTTCGATACTTCCAGGCACAGTCTTGTACATACGAAGGAGGGCGATGTATGCATCGAAGTCTCGCCGAGCCTTGTTCTGTGTGCAGGACCACAGCATCCATAGTATACGGCTGCTTGAGCGGAGCATTGGACGGAGATTCAGTCACCACTAATTGAATATGATCGCCAGTCTTCAAAGCTGTGCTCGGCGAGTCGATGCGAACAAGAGTCTTGACGACCGTGAACCCGTCGGAATTTCTGTCATGCACCAATCGAAGAGTTTGACCCAGAAATTTCCTGTTGCTATTTGCTTCCTCGATATGTTCAATTGCGATCCCGATGAGCTGCTTGATGCATTGGGATATCTCCAGTGGTCTCCCTACCAGTATACGTGAAATCTCAGGTTCCAGACACTCGAGCAAAAAATCCAGGGCGAGCTCCACGTCGGGCATAGTCAGCGCGATGATCTCGCACAGATCTACAAGTTGTTGTACGGAGATTTGTTTGATGTTGCGAAGGACGGTTTGGAATGGTTTCTTCACGAATGCGGATATCTGATGCGAGAGAAGGGCGAATTCTGGTAGAATGGCGAGGAAGATTACGCTGGATTCTTCTGCAAGTGATTGACAGTGAAGCTTCCAGAGTTGAGAGTCCAAGAGCGACTGGGCGAGGAAAGCAGCAGTGGGGAGAAATTCGAGAAGAGAGCGGAGCGTGCATAGTTGCGTTGTTTCATTCTTTCTTGTGACGGATTCGATCAGTCGGGTGTAGATTAATTGCAGTACACTCAGCTGTGCTGTGTTGTGCAGTAGCTGTAAGGTGTGGGTGATCTCGCCAGCAGTCGTAAGCTGCTCGACTGCCTGGAAATCGTGATCCCAGACAATTCGAGCAATCTTTTCCGGGATTTTACTGCGTTCGCTGTCACTCATGGTTGGGATCCGGTACTCCTGTGAAACGGGCTCAAAGTTGGGGAGCTTCTCTTCCGTGTCGATGAAGTGCAGCCACCGATCAAGGTACCGCATGGATTGGACGTCTCGATTACTGATGACATAGATTTCCTAGGACAATTGTGAGCTTGACGCGAACCGGCTTGAAGTGAGTGGTGCTTACCGCTGCGAGTATACCAGCTCTGTTCATTCTGCCTACATGCTTCTGCACCTGCGCGCTGATCTTCTGCAAAGCAACACTTGCTCTACAGTCAAAGTTTAAGCCTTCATCGAGCGTCTTTTGCTTCTGCCGCCTCCTTTCCCCCATCGTGTTCGTGTCACGGTAGGATGAAGTGTCAACAGGGCCTTTAGTCAAGAAGACGAAAGTGTTTGCACGCTTTGTCTCGTACAGTTGAAACACTGTGTCGTCGCAGTAGAGTCTGTAGTTGACCTTAGTAGGCATGACTTTATATGGTGTCATTCCAGTGTCTGACGATCGTGGGATCGCAAAGACCCTCACTGAAGCATCGACTTGGACCTCTGACGCTCGAGCTATTTTCTGCGGCACATAGATCATGAGCGTGAGACGTTCATCGGCTCTCAGGATTACCAATTTCTTGTGGAAGACGTCCAGTGCACGGCACACACTAGGCAGGAACCGAGCCATTCGGTCGACACTTGACAGAAATACCGGCTGCCAGTGGAGACCGGCATGATGAAGCTCAAACTTGCGCATCTCCGAGAGAAGGATCAAATCTGACCTGATGGCGAAAACGATATTGTTAGTCAGTCTCGACATGCAATTCTCATATGTATTTTGTGCCATTTGACAGCGCAAGTGGATATGCTCACTGGACGAGGCCATTCTTGATCAGACACGGCATGTGACGTGACGGAGGTAATTGGCCAATGACCCAAGCCTTCTGTTCATCATCCAGAGCAGCATAATTAAATAGGTCTGCAAAGCTGGCAAAGTCCTCTCCAGTCTTTGTACAGCTTCTTAGTACAAATTGAATCAGCTCGAATTCTGAAATTGCGATTGAGTCTCTGCACGAGATCAAATCCAGTATATCAGTAGGACTAGATTCGTTATCGAAAACGCGATGGGTGTTCCTGGTGATTGTAGCGGTCGCGGCGTCATGCAAGACGTCTAAGATGAATGGCAAAGCATCCGGGGGAGTCTCGGGAGGATCCTCGAAAGCCGCTGGGACCTTCACATGATTGCCGTCCACGCATTGGGAGAAGAGACGATTGAGTTGCTGGCATTCTGGACTCATAGCGCCTTTCAAACGAGCCCATTTCAGGTAGAGGTTCTTGATCTTCCCAAGAGACGTGCTTCGGTATCGAGCGAAGTATTCTGCTCTATCGTCACCGGTGATCTCACCAAAGTGATGTCGTTCTTTGACGCCAGGGTACATCGCGGCCTCCGCGATCTTTTTTGGAATGATATCCGGATCCCACGTAACGAAAACTGATCCGAGAATCAGATGGATGATTCGAAGTTGTCAACAACCGAACCGAGAAACTCACATTTATCTCCATCGAGATCTCCGCCCGACATCAGGTCAGCGCTGGGCCTGCTCCCACGGATTGGGAACACTATGCAATCGACCAAGTGCGAGAACTCGGGAACATCAACAGCTCGGAACTTTTGCAGGTCACCAGGATGGAGACAAGGGTTACGGGTGACCAGAACCTCTGTGTTGATCAAGGTTCTGGGTTCTCCATCTCCGTCCAGAGTTATTCGGACGAAGCATGTTCCTGGAGGAAGTCTACTCATACCGCCGTCTCTGCCGGTGGGGTCGCATACGCCAAAAAGCAGTCTTGACTGGGTGAGCATGATGCGACAACGCTGCTCTTCATACTTGTTGAGCATTCGACTGTACTCTGTCTTGACGAGGCTCCGAAGAGACTTGCGCACACTGTGGACGCCTTCAATGAGTAACTTCTCCGCCAGATCTAGCTCGTTCTGATATGACAAGAACCGAAATGCGGCTCTGGGCTCTCCATTGTATGCTTCGTCCAGGAATTGCAAGTATTCCGTCTGCTTGCTGAGTATGGTGTCAGTTGACACGCCGAGGGCGTTGAGAAGGACGACAATCTCATCGTTCAAGAAACCGAAAGTGTATGGCTGCCAGCTTCAGTACCACTCTTCGTTCCAATCAGGTGGACGTACCTTGGAATGCTCGACCACGGAAAATGAGAGGTCTTTGACATCTTTGAGCTTCTTCATTGACTTTCGGAACAAGACTTGAGTTTGGCCAGTCAATGTCGGGTCAATCATCAGGACTCCTTTGTAGCCCCGATAACGTATCTGCAACACCGAGGGTAAGTACCTTTTGTTCCTGTAGACAATGCGTTTGCGCTGCGCAACCTGTTTCGCCAGTCGTACTGCAATCAGGCCGCATCCATCTGTGAACACATAGTCACCCAACTTGACATCATCAATGTCAGTGCAGCGTTCCGGCTGCAGCTCTAAAGCGTGCTCGGCGCTCGAGAACAGCAAGCCTAGACGCTTCGCCTTTTTGCCGACAGATTGCATGTTGGAGAAGTCCGCCAGTGCTTCCACCTTTTCTTTTATCACTTCCTTGGATGCTGCGAACAGAAAGCACGACCGCGATTTCAGCTGGCTATTGCTGTGACCGAAGAAGTGGTACGCAAGGCCATTCAGGACGACACCAGTCTTCAACAACCTGGCGACATATTCCGCACTTTCTCGGGCTGGCGCAGGCTGTGTCTCGCCATCCTTGGTGTTCGCTGTAATCTGGAGCCGAAAATCGGCAACACTCAGCAAGAGGAACTGGTGGAGCGGATCATCTTTGATGACGCGGTTGAAGGGCGCTGGGACCATGTGCAAGGAGATGAGCTGCTCGTGCGCATTCGAGACGAGAGTGATTGCTTTGATAAGACGAGCATGATCTGTCTTCGAAGATGACGGCAGGTTGGGGACATGATAGTGCCAGAGATTGTCCGTCGGCGCAATGCCATCTTGCAGGACGTGCGTGAATGACTTCACGCTCGTCATGTCCTTTCAAGACTTCTCCGGATAACGTACGACCGTGTTCAAGAGATGTTCAGCCAACACAACAACAATGCGAATGACAACCAAACAATAGACGTCGGGCCGGCATATTTGCCAACCCATGCCCAGCAAGCCCCTGCACAATCAGCATTCATTTGCGCTAAAAAACCGTACGGTTTTATGGGCAATGCTTTACTCACCTCATCAGACGACGCCTTTCTCGCGCGCGTCTCCTTGGAATTCTTAGCTCGGCTGACCATGGAAGCACAACAGCAGAAGAATATCTACATCGTGGGCCCATCATGTACCGGAAAGACGACGTTGTTGAAGGCGCTGCAAGAACACTTTGACCAGCACAGCCAATCGTTTGGCAGCGATCCGCCCAGCATCATAGCCGAGACAGCTCGAGAAGTGTTGGAGAAGCTCGACTTCAAGCAAGGAGAATACTTCCACGACCCACAGAAAGTACTCACACTGCAGCAGGCCATACTTGATGCACAGTACGGCGCAGAACGCGATGCTTCCAGAGTCTCGCAATGGTACATATCTGATCGGTCCGGCCTTGACCCTCTCGTCTACACGGCACTCTTCGTGGGCGATACTGCCGTCAGCGAAATGCTTGATTCGCCAGCATGGAAATGGCTGGAGCAGAAACTGAGGGCTGGGACAGTGCTGCTCTGCGAGGCTGGTGGCCCGTGGATGACCAATGATGGTGTCAGGTGGATGCCCAGCTACGATGGAGAATGGAGGGAGCACGATGAGCAATTTCGCACGATGCTCAGGACTCTTGATATCCCTTTCGTTGTGGTTCCGAAGGAGGTTCTAGGCCTGAAGGAGCGCGTGGGGATTGCTCTTCAAGCGCATGGACGGCCGGTGGAAAAGAGGAAAGACATGCGAAAGTTATGAGATGTCTAGGAGAAGTGTTTTGGGTAGTAGTCGGAGGATACAGTATAGTAGCAGTTATAGCGAGCATAGTAGAAATAGCGGCGACAAGGTTCCGTAGCAATCCTACGTGATTCTTAGCAGTAGTTAGAGTATATAGTAGCAGTTATAGCGAGCACGGTAGAAATAGCGGCGACAAGGTTCCGCAGCGATCCCACGTGATTCTTGGCAGTAGTTGGACGATCCCACGTGATTCTTGGCAGTCAGGCGTGGCCCCAACAGGCATTCATAGCCGATGTCAAAATGTCGGCCGGACATCGAAGCCAGCACGCCATCCCACCACTGCACCATGGCTTAGAACTAAAGCATGCCTTCTCCCACGGCGACAGAGCTTTCGCCGCTGTTGGGAGACGCCGACTCGGACAGCATGGGCGTGCACGACATCGACAATACCACCACTTCCCATGGCAAAGGCGAGGCCATCAACATCGTCGACGTCGATCGGCATGCCAGGCCCCGGAGTCTGGCAGCGGCAGCAGCAGCAGCAGCAGCAGCAGCAGGCCCATCACAACCCACCGAGCAGGAAGCAGACTTCGTGACGACCAACGAGGATCGTGATTTGAGCCGTGGACTTCATCAACGACACATCTCGCTCATCGCCATCGCAGGAGCCGTCGGCACGGGGCTCTTCCTGGGACTTGGCGCTTCGATTCAGACCGGAGGACCTCTGGGAGCGTTGCTTGGCTATCTTACCGTCGGCCTGATGGTCTGCGCCGTTCAGTTTGCGCTGGGAGAAGTCACGGCACTGCTGCCCGTCACGGGGTCCTTTGTACGACATGCCGAATTCCTCGTGGATCCGGCGATGGGCTTTGCCATCGGCTGGAACATCGTAAGCAAAGCGGACCTACCTTCTGTGTCTCTCGTCTGATCACATCTCCAGGTCTATGGCAATTGGCTATCGATCCCAGCGGAGATCTCGGCGATATGCGTTTTGTTCCAGTACTGGACCGACGTCAATTCGAGCGTCTGGATCATTCTCGTAATCTGCTTGACCTTCATTGTCGGCATCTCGCTGATTCGCGTGTATGGTAAGCAGTCAGCGTGCACGTCAAATACACCCTATTCTAGCTAATAGTATCAAAGGCGAGGTCGAGTTCTGGTTTGCCTTGCTCAAAATCGCCTTCATCATATTTCTAATCATCCTCGGACTTGTCATCTCCCTTGGCGGTGTCCCCGGCGTTGAGCGTCGAGGTTTCCACTACTGGAAAACTCCAGGACCGTTCGTTGAATACATCGGAAGTGGTGCCTGGGGCAACTTTCTTGGATATTGGGCTTGCATGGGTTCAGCCGTGTTCTCCTTTGCAGGCACGGAATCTGTTGCTATGGCCGCTGCTGAGACGCGAAACCCCAGACAAGCTATCCCAAGAGCTTGCAAGCGTGTCTTCTTCCGAGTCGCTATCTTCTACCTCCTAGCAGTCCTGGTCGTTGGCATGCTCGTGGCCAGCGATGACCCTCGGCTTGACGATCAATCAGGCACGGCAGCTCAATCACCATTTGTCATCGCTGCATCCGCTGCCGGAATCAAAGCGATCCCATCGGTCGTCAACGCCGTTGTGATTACTTCCGCATGGTCCTCCTCAAACCAGGCGCTGCTCGCTGGAACTCGTGTACTCTATGCGCTTGCGTTGAAGAAGCAAGCGCCCAAGGTTTTATTACGCACAACTTCATGGGGAGTCCCGTACGTCTGTGTCATGGTTCAGACAGCTTTCATGTTCCTCGCATTCATGAGCCTGAGCTCTGGAGCACTAACTGTGTTCTACTGGTTTGTTAACCTCACGGCTTGCGGTGTCCTCATCAGCTGGATCTCCATTCTCATCAACCACCAGCGTCTGATGCTTGCGATGAAGAAGCAGGCAATACCATACTCGGCCCTGCCATGGCACAATACATGGACCAGATTTTCTACGCCAGTTGCACTGGTTCTTTCTGTGGTGATTCTGTTCACATCTGGCTTCTCCAACTTCACGAGAGGGAACTGGTCATCCTCGGGATTTGTGTCCAGCTACCTCGACATACCTCTGGTACTCACAGCGTTTGTGCTCTGGAAGTTCTTCAAGAAAACCAGATTCGTCAATCTTGCTGATATTCCGCTGAATGAAGCTTTAGACGAGATAGAGAGAAAGCCGGAGGAGCCAGAGCCGAGACCAAAAGGATGGCTGAGATGGGTGTCGTTTCTATGGGATTGAGCTGATATACATCGACAGTTACACGAATGCATCCAAACCCGCAACCGCAATTCACTCCAGTCCAGCTGAAGTCGATCTTGACATTCCCAATCTTTCTGCGACCTGCAATCGATCTATACTTCCGCCAAATAGCTTGCTATTCTGCTTCCTGGTATACGCCATGACTGACGCTGGTGCATTGCCGTGAGGACTATTAGGATCATCCGGATCGTCGACCTCCCAGAATGGCTTCTCCTCGATTACCTGCTCGCGCGGTTCGATCGGTGGCTCGCTCCCATCATTGGCTTTTCGTGCCATGTCCTCGCGGAATTCCTGCTCCGCTAGGTAGATCAATTCTCCGACGCTCGCTTCTGACGAGAGCTTGACGGCTTCTACAACCTCATTCGCCACATCTCTACCAAAGTCTTCTCCATACCAGTACTGTTCTCCCAGCGGGTTCAGAAAGACGCCCCACCACATGACCGCAAGCAAAGAGATCTGGTCACCTTCTTTGATGGCTTGGATGAAATCATCACCGGCAAGCGACAGCCAAGCGAGTACAAATCCTCGGTGCTTGAGCTCGCCACAGGTGGAAAAATGGTATTCCAACCACCAGATGGCGTTCTTGCACGACAGGTATCGTCTATCCTCGGGCAAGGGCTCTATCGGTCCAGGACTGGAATACCCTTCGTCCGACATTGGTGCCCTCGCCTCATTCATCTCGGTGAGAAGCTGTATAGCTCTTGCTGCTCTTGGACTGTACCCTTGCTTGGGAAGCCGGAGCATATCTGGAATCTTCCCAAATAGTTTATGCTCTTTGATGCACTCTGGGCGCTTGAGCATGACGACGGTGATTCCTCTGACCAGCTCGAAATGGATGATCGTATTTTGTATCATTCCCTCTTTCAGCAACGGCTGCGTGGACGATGCAAGGGCCAGCACCATTAGTATGATCGAGCAATACAACAACGCATCATGAGCCTCTACGTCATCCATCATGCTTCCTTCTAGGTCGCTACGAAACTTTTTGAAAGCGAGAGTCTGGTAGTCCAGAGCGGCGCTCAGATGCTGTGGCGCTTCGTTCGGCCTGTCGTATGCTAAATGGAAAGACGTCAAAGCGAACATACTGTTCAGAAGGAAGTCATACTTCATCGCAATCTCCGGCATAACATTCCTCCAGATCTCTCGATCGTCGGCGATCTCGGAGACCATGGTTTCGCAAGTGACCGTCGACCAGCGATGCATGAGTCGAAGTTCCGGGATATGTCTGGCAGTCGACATTGAGGATATCGAGCTGCTGAGGGCCGAGATGTCCGAACCAATTGCAGAAGACTTGGCATGGTTGGATGGCGGAGACGCAGTGTGGTGCGAGACAGTGGCCGGCGGAAAGCTGCAGTCTGTGTCCCTGATCTTGCAGTTTGTGCATGGTGGTCCGCTCTCGTCACCTATGCAAATCATTGTTCCCTGATCAGCCTGGTGCCTCTCACAAGGTTAGTGCCGTTGGATGCTTGGCTAGACTTACACTTCACTCGACGCCTCTTGCAGGTATAGCACCCGTTTCGTGACTTGAGATGCGACCTGCGTGGAGCCATGTCACGCACGTTTAGCCAGCCAATCGAGCGCTGGTCTATACCCCAGCAGCAAATCTTCCACGAATGATCTAGCCCGATCCTATTCAAGTGCTTTGTCCACAAATCTTGGTACAATCGGCAAGGTGGAGAAACTACGTCGATACGTTGACACCATGCGTAATCGTATATGTCAGGGCCGGATCTTGGAGGTGGTACGATCTTTTTCTACTGACTAGAATGCAGCAAATCTCGAGAGGTGAACACAGATACGAAAACGAGAGTTCAGCACATATATGCAGAACGGACGAAGCTCAGCCGCACGACATTGTGGTTCACATGGCGGATCATCTAAGCCTTGCTCGGATTCGCATTCCCACCATCTGACCAATCAGCATCGGGAACGAGTACGAAAGTGGATCCAAGGGCAGAATCCCAGCAAGACATGCGGACGAAATCGTTGTGAGCTATCTCGCGTTACATTCTTTCGCGAATGCCATGCAATAACAAGACGACCTGGTCGCCAATGCCACGCAATGTTCAGCTGGATGACGAAAGAGCGTCAACATGTCTTGCGAGCGAGGAATTGTATATCAGGAGCGGCTGCAATGGCAGGACTCAACGAGAATCGCCACATCGATCAGTTCACGACAGCACCATGAAAACACCATTTCGCCGAATCACAAATCTCCTCCTCTTGGGTTCAGCAGCAGCTCTGCCCGCTGCAAAGACCAATACCTCAAGGATCGAATGGGGACCGTGCAATCAGACGGAAGTCAATACGACCGGGACTGCACCCACACAATGCGGTACTCTACCCGTTCCCCTCGACTACACAAACACCTCATCAGAAGAAACCCTCAATCTCCAACTCATCAACATCCCAGCACCAATCGAGCCGTGCAAAGGTAGTATTCAATTCAACTTAGGCGGACCAGGCGCCACCACACGACAAGACCTAGCCTCTCTAGGCTACACATTCCTCAACTTGACAGGCGGTCAATACAACCTCGTCGGTTTCGATCCGAGAGGTACCGGCAATATTTTACCATTCTCCTGTGTCGACAACGAACTCGACGCGCAGAAAAAGCTCCAGAGAATGCTGCCAGGCGGGAATGCCTCGGACGTAGCTCTCGGTACGACCTGGGCTGGTGCGGAACTCACCGCAGCGATGTGTTAAAAAAAAACTGGGAACAAGACGGGAACTCTCATCGGGACCGCCTTCACCGCAAGAGATCTGATCAGTGTCGTCGACGCTCTGGGTGAAGACGGAATGCTGCAAGTCCAGTCTCCCCAAAAAATCCCTCTGACCCTTTCCTAACTTCCTACCAGGTCTATCCTACGGCGCAACCGTCGCATCGATATTCCCCCACCGCATCGACAAAATCCTCCTCGACGCCGTCCAAAACCCCCAAGAATACTACCAACGCATTCGCAGATTTCCAAGAATGGTTACAGAGACCGATTCCGTCTTCTCCCAAATCTTCACGTCCTGCATCGAAGCCGGTGCAGAGAGGTGTGTACTCGCATCACTCGAAAAAAAATCTGTGTCGGAATTGGAGGATCTGTATTGGGAAGTTCTTCTCTACGAGCTGAAATTCAACCCCATCGCGATGGTTGATGGCGGATTTCATCGTGGACTATTCGGCATTCGTGGTAGATTTATTATATTCGATCGACGCCTAGCCCGCGTTTACGAATCTACTATTCGCGATTGAGGAGGAGGAGGAGGGAAAAGATATCGCGACGACTGCATCTAGTATCTTTACGAGTAGTAGGACTACTACTCCAACCCTCATCGACCAAACCCTCACGATAAGTTCCTGCGGCGACCGCTTCCCTCGAACAGAAAATTTCGCGGACATGCTCACCACCTACCCAAAACCTCACTCACATTTCCCATACATTCGGAGACGTACTCATCGCCCGAGAAATGCTCTGTGCGAGGTGGGAATTCGAAGCGAAGGAACGGTATACCGGGAACTTTACCGCTAAACTCCCGGAGTCTTCTTCCCCGATGCTTTTACTTGGGAATACGGGCGATGCGTTCACGCCGGTTGCTTCTGCGTATAATGTGAAGGGAGTGTTGTTCTTGAAATCGAGGGAGGGGTTTGGACATGCTTCGATTTCTGTGCCTTCGTCTTGTGTGTTGGAGCATGTTTCGAGGTTTTGGAAAGATGGGGGGTTTGCCGGAGATGGGGATGGAAGCGAAACCTTTTGGGGATGTTACTTGGGCGGATGTATTCGTGAAGGAGGCTGGGAATGGGAGAGGTTAGGGTGTGGGTTTGTGTTGTCTTTCTTTCTACCAGTTCTGATTTGATTTGTTTTTTTTCAGGTTGGTCTTCGAGCGTAAATGAATAAATGCTCTTCTGGGTGAACGTCTTCTTCTCCGCAAAGTCCAGCTTCGACTCCGTTCGGAGTGAATCTCTCGTTCTCGTGTTTCTCTACCGAAAATCCCGCGGCATTGATCGAGTTCAAATTATCATGCGTGTCCAGTCCAGAGGCGATTTTATTTCTTCCCAGCCATCTGCAAGGGACCAAGTTACCTGCAAGTGGCACCGTACCGAAGACAAACAATCCACCTTAAGTATCCTCAATCAGTAAATCTTTCTTTCCCCAGCATGTGAGTTCTTCGATCACTGACGAACCTGGTTTCAACCAACGATAAACCCGGATAAAAAACCCCCGAATATCATCCTGCGTGACATCGGCGATCAGACTGAAATACGCCACCACGCAATCCGCCGCATCATCACTGGGATGAGGTTCCCAAGTGCGCAGATCCGCTTCGAGAAATTTCGCAGCTGGGACTTCTTCTCGGGCGATTCCAAGCATGACAGGAGAATTCTCGATCCCGGTGACTTCCATTCCAGCTTCGACCAGTCTGCTTGCCGTAGGCCTTCCAGTGCCGGACCCGACATCGTAGACTTTCGAGCCCGGCGAGAGATTTGCGATCAGCCATTGGAGAGAGCGCGCATGGGCTTCGTCGTGGGCGTAAGCTTTCTCGTATTTCTGTCCGACGTCGTTGTGGACTTCGATTGAGGTTAAAATTTGGGATTCCGGCGTTGCTTCGATTGCGAAGACGGACTGCTCCATGGCGAAGGGCTGGAATTTGTTCCTCGAGTGGTGATGGATAGGTGGCGCTGTGTACCTACTTATAAGAAATGCCCTGGCCGACCTTGCGCTAACCCGGTCTCACAGACGCGTGAGGGGGCATGTTTATGCGGTGTAACATATGGAGACGGTCGGCTTTGTCGCTGTACACGACGTCTTCTCTTGGCGCTTTGGGTAGAATATAGGCGTGTCCGATAGGATGGCTTTCTCCACATTTCTCTTGTTCTTTGCATATGACAAATGGCCCAGCTGTCTTCGCATAGGCGTAGGACCGAATCGGGGCGAGGTGAGCTCTCTTAGTCGGGTCTGCACATTGTCTTGGCGCCTCGAGAGGTGGATGTAGCTCACCACTCGTGTCAGTGGCTTTTGCATGTATCGACGACACAATCATTTGGTCTCCGCGATGTTCACATTGGAACACTTCGGCATGTTCCTTGCGAATGCAAATGCTTGGCGTACTTCCTGACATCGCCTCGCCTCGCCCTACCATTTCCAGACTTTTGGGCCAAACGTCTCGTTGCCAGAAACCTTCTTCCTCACAGCATCGCCCGTATAATCAACGGTGTTGATTACGCTTGTGCCCCACCAGGAAGCAGGCCAGGTGAAGCCCGAGATGTGGGAGAAGTTCTGGAGAGAGACTACAGTGTCAACGAAATAGCCGGTACCGCCTCCGAAGGCAGCGTTGGCCATGGCTACGATAATGACGTGCTCTTTTACGTTGAACTCGAAAGGGATTGAATTGCTTCGGAGTGGCCTGGTTGGTTGTGGCCCGCAAACTCGGCAGTGATTTGGGAATCTGCCACTGCTGCGGAGCTGCCTTCGGTGGTCGTGCGCTTGAAGCCGAACCTCTTCATGATGTAACTTTATGATTGAACGGTCGAGCTGTGGAAGGCAGGCCTGGAGCGGAGGGATCAGGCTGGTCATTGCTATACATATGTATATGCCGCGCGGGCCCTGACCTAGCGTGCTGCTACCACACACTGACACTACTACTGTACAGCACCACACCATAGACTTTTGAGGAAGCTCGTTGTTGCATTGGACCACCAATGCGTACTGCTCCTCTTGAAGCCTAGTGCTGGAGACAAGCTCGCGCTTTGAGTCCGCACTGGACCGACGAAGAAGCATGGTATGGCATGGTGCAGGGTCGTCAACGTTTCGGTGCTATTATCTACACCGGGTACGCCCTGTACATAGACGAAACGCCCACCCCTGCGGCTGCTGTTTGATCCAATAGGAGAAGCAGACTATGCCTGTATTGAGTTGGATTTCTCCGACAATCTCGCGGACGCTAGCATTCGCTTCTTGAAACCCTTAGCCATCCCTGTTGAACATGAGTTCGCGGCAATTGTTTCAATACTTTGTTTGTTGCACTTCTGTGGCCGTACGGTCTATAAAATAGGGGTGGAAGGTGTTTATACTTCGACTCGAACTCTTCCATCCGCGACTTGTCGGTCGGTTCAACTGCGCCTCGAGTCACTCGCTTCGACATACAACATGTATCTTACCACCCTTCTCTCCTCCCTTCTAGCCTCTGCTATCATAGCGTCTGCGGCCGTTCCAGGCGTCAAACCTTACTATTATCGCCTCGAGGGATTGATCCCACGTCACGAATTAGTAAAGATGATGGGTCCTTCGAAATATCTACCAAGGGCATCAACTCCAGAGGCAGGAGGTGGAATTCCACACTCACCGCCTCCTAAAAATCCGACTGGCAACGGTAAGAGATGGTCGAGCCTGCAAGGCAAGCTACTTTATATATACATGCTAATCTGACTTCTCCGTAGAACCTGGTAAGAGATCTTCGGAGCATAAGCTACATCATACACGTACATTATCATCATACTAATCCACCTTCGACGCTCATAGGTTGGTCCGCAATCGACAAGGCTTCGGGCTGTCCGCATAAATGTTGTACAGCGGATGCTGATGGTTCCTGCGTAAGTTGTCAGCGCAGCGACTCGGCTCGCGAACAATGGTTTTACTGATTTTGATTCTTCTATAGGAAGGTTGTTGCAAGTGGGACCCAAATGATCCTGCACACATCCATAACGCAGGGACTCCGTCGGAATGGAAGGAGTATCAAGGAGACTATCTTACAGCACCACCTTGCCAGAAAACAAACACTTGCAAACCACCACCACCAACACCACCACCACCACCTTGCCAGAAAACAAACACTTGCAACCCACCCCCACCACCAACACCACCTTGCCAGAAAACAAACACTTGCAAACCACCACCACCACCAACCCCACCTTGCCAGAAAACAAAGACTTGCAAACCACCACCACCACCTTAGGAAACAGCGAACAGTTCAGGCAGTATACCGAGTGGGGCCGAGTGCCTCCCTATAGGTGGACGTGGGTAATGCGTAGCGCAGTATGAAGGTTCGACTCCTTTGGCGAGCTCAAGCACCTCATCTAGGGTAGCATATTTTGTTGTATATTTCCCTTTGAAAACTGGGCCGACGATATCTGGTATATAAGTTGCCTCAATTTTGCCGATATGCTCATCCAATTCTGTCCGTACACACAATTGCTACCTTTTCTGCTCGACTTATGTTCGCTAAGAATAAGAATCTCCGGTCTAGCTTGCAAAGGGATGCGTAGCTCTTCTCGTTCCTACCGCCTACCGCCTACCCGTTGGAGAGAGAAGTTGGGGCAGGTTTGGAAAGGGAGGCAAGAAGAAAATCGACGTTAGTCATGGATCTTTTTGCGCGTTTCATCGTTGAAGATTTGAATGAGGATGGGAGACAGAATGCGAAGACTGAGTGTAGTGTAGGACTTTCAAGTCCATGGAGGGAGGAGAAGGAAGAAGATCAGGATGCGAGGCTTGTGGAGACGTGAGTGGATGACCAGGAAATGCTCCGAACTTGATCAAGGGATCACGCTGTGTAGCTGTGCTGTGCTACAAGATGCCAGAGCCTTCATCAGAGTATAGATATAGCAATCGCATGAGCGAGATCAGATTGTGCGCGATGAACAAGTGCAAGGCCAAAAACATGCTCCTGCACAAGACAAGCTTTCGTGGTCCGCGCTAAAATTGGACCCTGCAAAAGTCTGACGTGCCTTGTTGATGAACATTTTTCTGCTAGAGGTGCACACAATCGTTTAGCATGACCACCGTGATGGCCGACGACGACTCCGACTCCTCTATCGGCGACGATATCGAGACAAATGTTCTCCTTGCCTACGCCTCCAAAGAGCCCACGAGCGACGACTTCAGCCAGCTTGGCGGCCATCCAGTACGCAGAGCAGACGTGTGTATGTGAGAAAGAGCTTGGCTAAGAGATGGGTATCTAGATTTGGATTGATGGCAAGACTGCACCAGATGGCGCGCTTGCAAAATGCAAAGTGTGCAATTCGCATATGAGTCTGCTGCTTCAGCTCCATGCCGATCTCCCAGGCCATTTTCCTGGACATGAGCGAAAGCTCTACGTATGGGCATGCAGACGCAAGGCTTGTAGGCGGAAAGAAGGAAGCGTAAGAGGCTTTCGAGGGACTAGACAAGTCAAAGTCGATGCAGCAGGAGGGACAGCTCAAGAGAAGACGGCAACGCAATCCGCGGCGCCAGCAAAGGTCCAGACTGGCTTGGGAGAATCTCTATTTGGCGTGGCCAAGTCCAACACAAGCACTTCAACCAACCCGTTTGCCTCGCCGTCTGGAAATGCAACTCTCTCGAATCCCTTTGCAAGCGCTTCGAGCCTAGCAGCCAAGCCTCCCCAGAAGCCCGAGACGAGCGAATCTCTACCACAAACCTTCGCAGAGAAAGCCAAGATCTCCTCGCCTCTAGATGAACCTACTCCTGAACCTCAACCCAAAGGCCCCAAAGAGCCATGGCCAGAGAAATCCGCTTTCCCAACAGCCTACCCTTCATACTACCTCGACGCCGACAAAGAATACATCGACCCCGAGCCCCCTTCACCTGCACAATCAACGCAAAACATCCGAGTCGACGACGACGCAGACGGAAGTAGTAGTGCAAGCAACCAAGAACTCTTCGAGAGCAGCATGGACAAAACATTCCAAAAATTCGCGGACCGACTCTCTCAAAACCCCGAGCAGATCTTACGGTACGAATATGCCGGTCACCCACTTCTCTACAGCAGATCTGATGCTGTGGGCAAACTTCTTGATCCGACACACGCAAATGAGAAGGTCAAGACGATTGCCGCCGGTAAGATTCCTGCGTGCAAGAATTGTGGTGCTGAGAGAGTGTTTGAGATGCAGTTGACTCCGCATGCGATTACGGAGTTGGAGGCTGAAGAGGAGGGATTGGATGGGATGGATTGGGGCACGATTTTGTTTGGCGTTTGTAGTAAGGATTGTCAGCAGAAGGGTGTTAAAGATGGGGAGGTCGGGTATGTGGAGGAGTGGGTTGGTGTGCAATGGGAGGAGTTGGCGGAGCAGAAATAAGGCAGTGCTTCGGAAACGCAGAGCATTCGCTAGCTGAACGTTTGGCTGGAAGACGCTGTGCTGGCAATGCAAGTACGAGAAGGCGTTAATGAAAGCAGAGATGTCATTTACGGTTTCGACGAGTTTTCATTCCAGCATAGCTCATTCATGCAAGTACATAAGAGCGGGTATCAAGCCCCATCGCTCATTCATGGCCACGCCAAACCTCTGGTGGCGCTTTTTGCCCCATCCTCCGATACCCATAAAACGCCACGCTAGCAAAAAATGCATCTCCTTGACATCCCGGTGAAAGAGACCGAATCAAGCAGGCTGCTCATACGCCCTCTTCACCATCCTCCCAAACTGTCCAAAATTCACCGTCTCCCTCTGCACCACACTCCTCGCCTCATTCTCCTTGTTCAACGGCACCTTCACCTGATCCCCTTCAATATACCACCCACAAACCTCCTGGACGAAATTCTCAAACTTCGCTCCACTGACGTTCAACCAGCCCTCCAACACCTCTCGTCCCACCTGCTGCATGCATTGACTCACCACCACCGCGATGCGGATCCTCATCGTATCCTCGAATCCCACCACATCGGCGCACAGATCTGAGTACAAATCGTCGGATTCGAACGTGTCCCAGAAATCTCGGTATTGCGCGTTGTTGAGTTGGTCGTGGAGTTTGGAGAGGTGTTGGACTGCTTCGGTTAGGGAGCCCGAGGGTTGTTTGTCGGTTGTGGTTTGCAGGGTGTAGGGGGGTAGGAGGGCTAGGGCGAGGGAGAAGTCTGGGGATGGGAAGACGGTGAGGGATTTTACGAGGATGTTGGTTGTGGTTTCGGCGTGCGAGAGGTGTGGGTTGAATTGGTATCTAGGTAGCGAGGTTAGTGTGCTGTAGCTGTGGGGGTTTTTTTTTCGTAGTGGAGAGATGTTGTGGTTTTCTTTTCAGATAGAGCTAATATACAATCGCTTCATGCAGCTCGGGTTCATTCGAGTTGTCGGGTAATAGGAAACGTTTTTGATTTTTGTTCATCACGGAATGTGGGGTTTGTAGTGTGGGAATAGCGTTGGACTCACAGTTTCAATAATGCCAAGTTTGCGTAGCAGTCGTATGTCTGGTTTTCGCACTGTTGCGCGACGTATTCTTGGAAGACTGTCGTTGTCTCTGGGTTGTAGCGGTCCAGTCCATTGAGGATTTGATCCATCGACTCCGGCCGCTCAGGGCACTGGTCGAATGCGAAAGGCATGGCGGTGGTGTTATGATATGGGTTTTGTGTGGAGGTGTTGTTCGAATGTCGACGTTGAAATTGTGTGCCCGCAGAGGGTCCGGCTGCAGCCAGAAGTTGTGATCGCCACGACTTCTGGCATCTGAGATAGCTTCCCGATTGCCATCATACCAACAAACATCCAGTCATTCACTACTTTAGGCTAGACATTATACAAGAGACCCGGCGGTGCTACAAAAGCAGACTCTTCCAGTTCTCGCCGTGCTTTGGTGCGACATACAGCCACAACATTCGTTTTCGTTCCCTACAACCTGGGAAGCAACGGATAGCATCATCCATAGCCTCGAGGCAAAGGATCAACTTTCTGGACAGAGACACCTTCGTCCGCAAGACAAGCCGTCCTAATTCTCCAGATGGAACTGTCACAGGCCTCAATGTCTCCAACTGGAGGCAAGCCATATCTGCTGAAGCTACCTCAAGAGCTACGAGACCTAATCATGGAATACATCATCCTAAAACCGGAGAACACAATAACCATGCTGCCCAATTTCAACTGCCACAAGAATGAGATCTCTGCCCGACCACCTTCGATATGTAGCGTCAACCAGCAACTTCGCTACGAAAACCTGCCCAAATTCTACTCCGATAACACATTTACCGCTCAGCTTGACAACAAGGAAGACCTCGAAACTGCAGTAACCTGGCTCGCAGCGCTGGGCGATCAGAACGTCCGTCATCTCCAGACACTGTCGCTGTGTGGATGGACTCGAGTCCCATTTGGTCATATGGTTAGTCGGAGGTGGTTGAACGTCACGCTACACCTTAAGAAAGGGGTAATGGATGTGCGCCAAATGGAAGCGGACCTTGCTGCCGATGACCTTTATTGCCGGGTCAACACGACGATTGAGGAGCTGAAGGCTAGTTTCGCGAAGCTTGTGGAAGCGAGGTCCGGACTTCCTTGGGATGTGCGAAGCGTGCAGGAGATTATGGAGGGATTCAACATGCTCTGTACCGGATATTGAAGCGTCATTCTGAGCCAGATCTGTTCATCCAGATTTGTTCTTGGAAGACACTCTTCGAAAAATGCCAAGCGTTTGATGGACATGAATGAGTGGCTTTACTCTTCGGCAACGTGGTTCGCCATAGAGCCATAAATGCTGCGTGCCGCATAATGTCGGTTGTTCTCAATCCGCCAGCTCCCCAAATCGGGACTCCAAACGGCTATCTTTCATACGGGACTACATATGTTTGGCGAGTCTGGTCCGTCTCGCCTCAGGTCACACCAGGCGCTGACTTGATGGGTACATTCAAATCACACACGATTGCGGGATCAGACGCCTCGGCGGAGACTGAAGTGCTGTCAGGCTCCAAACCCGGGTTTGCTCGTTCTCAGCTTTCAGTCTTTTTGCGAAATACGGCATCGCTCGACATTTATTAACCAACTGCCAAACCTGCGAACTCTTCTCTTCTACGCTTTCTTGGACTTTTCGCCTGGTCTGGCTACCACTGCTGCTTCTCGCCGTCCCAACCCCAGAGCTTGCCGCCATGAGACTCTTTGGTTGCGGCGTCGATCACCTTCTTCATGCCACTGACGGAGTCCTCCACTGGAAGCGGCGCCATATCACCAAAGCCAATAGCCTTTGCGCCCTTATTGCCCATATCTGTCTGAACGAATCTACGTTGACTGTCAGCAGCCTGCATTTTTATTGGTCTTGATCTCGGCAGCTAAGTTACCCAGGTTCCATCACGAAGGCAGTAATTTTGTCCTCTTCACCATTCATGCGCTTCGTCAACCAGTGTACCGCTGCCTTGGTTGGACCATAAGCTGCATTCGAAACTGGATGCTGGTTTCTGAAAGTTCCTATCAGCGCTAGCTCCACAGCGTGTACCATGGTCAGTCATCTATGAGGTAAACATACTCAAGCCATCCCGCACTGCTACCCATGGTGATAAATTTCGGCCCCGCAGCCTTGTTCAGCAGATCTCTTGTCGCCCGATACAAGCTCACCACGCCATAGACATTTGGAACCAGATGCTTCTGCATATCGTCGGGCTTCAGATCCTTTACAGCTGGAAAACTGAAACTGAAACCGGCATTCGCGATCACAGTGTCCAAATGCTGGATTCCTTCGCTCTGGAGCTCACGAACAGCGTCGAACGCATCCTCAGTCACAGTTGCGTCGAGCTTGACGACGATGACTTTGCTGCCTGCTCCACTGGGGAGGCTCTGGAATTCCTTTGCAGTTGTCGGGTTTGGAGCTCTATTCGCTGCAATGACGATGTGGTTTGGCTGTGCAAGGTACTTCTCAAGCAGACCTCTGCCAAGGCCTCGATTGGCTCCTGAGATGAGAACTATGGTGTTGCTGCCTGTCATCATTTCTCTACCGGACCATTCGAATCTTAGAATTCTGCTTGTCCTGCGAGTATTTGAGCTTTTGACGTTTGGAACAGAAAATTGCCCTATGCCACTTCATGAAGGATTCCAGCTGGTCATACTGTACTACTGGTCCGGACATAAACGGCTTTCAATCTCGCAAGAAAAGTCGCCGGACATAAACGGCTTTTAAGCTGTCCGCAAGAAACTCGAAGTGGAATTCTGGTTCTATTCACTTGGGCTCAGCATATCCACGTAGCCCGGTGCGAAGATTTCTCTTGTCTCCAACGAATGAAGCGTTTCCGACGGGGCGATTTTCTGACACCAAATTTCTGACGCCGGGGACTTTGTTCCCCCGAACATCAGATGCCATGAATGAATCGGTAAGGCCAGCGAGATTGTACACATGCTCATCATCAGTATCTGCTCTCCAGGCTTCAAATACCTTCGGCGCACGGAGATTACCTGTCGTGGCGACGGCCGTGAAGACATGACGGCACCACCATTATGCTACGGAACTTCGAGCAAGAGTATGCTGCCGAGCTAGAACCTATCTCAAGCTTTTTATCGGTCGCTTGCGTCCTGACTGCTCTTGTGTCTGCTTTGGCGAAGGTGAGCATCGCGAGTCCTGTCCGATCCCCGCAAAGTCGAGTGGTATAGACGATTATCAGATTGGATCCCGTAAGAAGCGCCATTAGACTCTCCCTCAACATTGATCTGTTCTGAACATGGACTTGTATCTGATGAGCCACATTTGCGACACCCTCATGAACCATGAATCATGAATCTTGAATCTTGAATCTTGAGTCATGAATCTTAAATCTTGGCGAAGTGGGATCTTTTGATCTACCATGTCGCACAAGCTCACACCCCGAGTCCCACTCATCTCAGGCGATGTTCGGACTTCATCACCTGCATCCCTCTTCCAGCAACTCTGGTCCTCCAACACCAAGATTTACCGTAAAGTCTGCTTGACACTCCGGCTTTCCCGCCATCCACATAGCGATACCAGAGTTGTACTGCCAGAAACTTTTCACGACTTTCTTCTGTGCGGTGTCAATGAACCGGATACTGATCGATGTTATAGGAGATTCGGCGCCAGGAGGGCCAAAGCGTTGGTATGGCAATTATGAGAAACGACAATATCGTGAGAGTGACAAGGTGGAAGAGGTCTGATGTGATCGACGTATGCTTGTCGGCTGGTGTAGTGAGTCTCGCTGAGCTTCGAAAATATCAGGAGGATAGCTGAGCGGGCGAAGGTTGGAATATGGACCCACTGCTTTCTGCCACTGGAATGAGTCACTGTCGGAATAGGCGATGAGGTCCTTGTGAAGATATTTCGGCTGTTTTCTCCCAGCTGTCACAGATTAGCAAAATGTTTCTGCTCAGACCGGAGGAGAGTAGGTACCCTGTGACTTTGCCGAGAATGTCCTTGTATGCTTGGACGTAGACATCGCAAATTTATAGAACGGCTCGAGCTTGACCTCACAGTCGGGAGGTGTGGTTCCAGTCCAGCGAGATTTGGCATCCTCATGGGCATCTCAAGAGCTAGCTGCAAGCCAACGAGAAAGAGCAACGATTTCCGCAACTCCACGCTGCAGTCAGACCGCCACACGCGAGACCACTCCAAAGGCTTCAGTTGGTGCCAGATGGAGAACAGTCGGTTTTGCCACAGAGGCCGTGTCCTACGTGTTGGTTGGAGGTGTTGGTGCATAGTCTGTCCTTCTTTCTCGCTTGAAGCTCAGGCGCCAGTCGTACAGATTTCCCCAATCTCTGACGGGCATTTGGAGCACACAGTCAGGTGCACAAGCGCCTGAGAGAAATATCGAGGTCAGGACTTCCAGCAACGTTCCGTCCCGTACAATCTGGGAAGTCCCACTGGCGATTATCCAAGCTCTTCTGAATCTCTCGCAATGCCCTTAAGGCACAAAGACGTGTAGCTGAAGCATTCTGGAGGCGTGGCTCGTTCGTATCCTGGCGCTTGCGTAGCATTCGACGATGAACATGTCAAACTTGTCGGAGACAGTGAGGGAAGACCCGGAAGAGTAAGAGAATGTCAGAAACATCCTGACATCCTGCAGGTTTTAGAGTTTCGGTCTCGTATGGAGGCTGTCTTGGCTCTTGGCACCTCCTGCGCCTGCGCCTGCGCGTGCACCTTGACTTGAACTTCGACTTCGCCAGTAACCTCCCGGTCGCGTCCTCTCGCGAAACATATGGCAGCATCATTACCTCCAACCCTTGATGGCTGGGAGCGGATTCGCGGGCCGTACGATGTTGTGCGCCGGCCTGATCGAGGCACTGCCACCAAGATCCGAACAGAGGAGGCGAGATCACAGGAGGCATCACCACTCTTCACATTGCCTGCGGAGCTAAGAAGTCTCATCTTCGAGCATCTGGTGGGCGCTGGAGTCGTTCATCTACGCGAGCGAGAGTGCGGGAAGCATGAGAGTTGGACCACGATCAGACGATACAAGGAGTTCAAGCGGACCAGCGATGATGCATCTCAGTTTCGCTTTGTGGACCGTCCGGCCAAGCTTAGCTACGCTACTTGTCAGAAGCCTCAAGATTGGCAAGTCCGCTATGCCTTGAGCCAGCGCGCAGCCACGATCCCCAAGGAGTGCTTCGACCGGAACGGATACCTGCTAGACTTCACCTCAGACCAAGTGCTGAGGAACTACACGAGGAGTCACGATCAGTGCGTCTGTGAAGCTCTGCGAGACTTCAGACTGCGTGATTACGGAGGAGGATGCAGCACTTTCCATCCAGAGTCACTAAGGAGCGGTGGATGCACCGCATGTCAAGCACAATATGAACGATGGACAGCAACTCACGGACCAGCACCCAAAGGCTTGAAGAGCTTTCATGCCAACTCTGGCATCGACTTGCGCTTTCTTCTTACATGCCGCCAGGCCTATAAGGAAGCATGGCATCTGCCTTTCACGCAATACACTTATGACTTTCCTGACCGCTATCAATCCTTACTGGACTTTGCACAAAAGCTTCTGTATCCTCATCAGAGGGAGTTGCTCCATACAATCCACATCAGGGATTGGTATTGTTCACGGTATGATCGAAAAGACGTACCAATTCCGGCTTCCTTCCTTCCTGGTTTACGCAGGCTGCAGTTGAGCTTCTTGGATGACTGGGTATTGTTCCCAGAACTAGAATTGAAGCTCCCAGCAGCTTATGATGATCTGGCGAAGACGTATCAACTGGAATCAGTTGAAGTAATCAGTGGTTGTGACCTGCGAGACATTGATTCAAGGCCGAAGAATCGCGAGTACGCTAAGAACATAGAAGACACATTGCTTCGCAGATAACATGGAGCCATGCGTCTCACAATGATAAAAATGATTACGAGCACATGAACGTCTCGCGACACTCATCACATATCACGATGGAAGGATCAAATCAATGATTTGGTTCATGTTCATCGCATCCAAATTGGCGAAACGGATCGTCGGCCGATCTTTCGGCCCATCGGACTCACCCACTCAGAGCTCCGACCTCGCCGCCTTCGACCTCATACGATCAGCTCATCATTCACCAGCGCTTGGAGACATTTTCTAGAGAGGGTCGAGCAGATCTCACAAGGCAGGCGAGATATTGATCACACACGAGGAATCACAGCATCGTGATGACCGAGCCACATCCGCACGACCGAACATCCTTTCCCACAGCATCACCTTTCCTACGACTACCTCTGGAACTCCGCGAAGCAATCTATCATTACGTCTTTGGACACCAGACGATACACATCATCCGCCAATTCTGCAGCTCTCGCCATGGCGACCTGGGTGCGACACTTTGTCGCCTGCCCCCAAACGACTGGTCTGAAACTTACGCTCTAAGCCAGTCATCAGGCAAAGACCATCGCGGTCTCTTCAAACCCGAATCCCAAGGAATTATCCGCAATCACACTTCCAAGCATCTCGACTGCAGCGATGTCGCGAAAGGGCCTGCAACAGGCATAAATCTACTTCATGTGTGTCGACAGTTTTACCGAGATACATCAACGATGCCGTATAGCGTCTCGACATTCTGGTTCAATGACGAGTTTGCGATGGAGACTTTTATTATGGAAGCTCTTACAGCTCGGCAACGTGAAGCTATTACGCATATCCAAGTTGGCCTGAGTGTGCGGGCTGGTATGAATTTCGCTACGTGTCTACAATCAATGCCTAATCTCAAGAAACTGGAGCTGAATGTTGCGTACTTGGACGCCGACTTGTTTACGCCTTGGTTACAGGCTGGCGCACCGGAGCCGGATGATGACTTAGAGTTTCCGGTGAAGCTGAGAGCCAGGGTGCAAGTCATTGCGGGATTTGATAAGGGAGACCAGATTGATGTTGGAAGAGTCGTTAGGCGACGAGTGGCTTTGAGGTTGGAGAATTTCTTGCTCGGGCGTCCTGTGGATGATGATGCGCAGGTGCCGAAGGGAAGTTGCGATCGGTCTATGTCGACTTGGCGGTATTTGTTAAGGAATGGATGTAGTATATAAAAGGAAGTAGCCTACAAGAGATAACTCGTAATTGAATACCCCTTTACCGCTCCATTCTCACGATTGCAGTAAAATTACAATCGATGAGAAGAGCAGTCGCGGTGCTCGGAGGCCCTCGAAGGCCTATAGAGAATATTGAACTTTAAACGAATCGGTAGTTCTAATGTAAATCTTTAGTTCTATAGGTCGGAATCTGTACGTCTCATCTCGGTCAGTTTACAGTAGGAATCCTGTGTTCCCGCGGTTCTTCAAAGACGATGTAAATGCAGCCTCACGGTGTCAACTTCGTCCACTCGACTCTCGCGTCCCAAAATGTGAGAACATTAGTCTTTGAATTTCTGCAAACTGTTTCGTTTTGTTCTGGAAGTCGTCAACAAGCGACCGCTGGGGAGGAATGCAACTCAGCTCTCTCAAATCAAATCAAATCGACATCCACAATCTTCGAACAATACTCCCCCTTCAAAAACTTTGCATCGGGAACTTTCCTCCGTGGCTCACCTCGCGGTGCATTAATTGTATACGCACCCTCATTCTCACCGGGTGTCAACTTCTTCCAATCGATCCTCGGGTCCCAAAACGTAACATCTTCAGTCTTAGAATTTCGGTAGTAGATTTCATAGATGCCCTTCTCGTTGTCCAGACGAGGGATCAGAGTTGTGTTAGGAGGAAGTGGACCGAGGAGAGCTTCGCCCCAATTGAAACCATGCATGTAGCAGGAACCTACGAGGTGGTATTTTCCCGTGGTTTTGGTGGGGCGAAGTAAGATTAGGTGTTTGAGACCGAGTACGGCAGTTACGAGATCGCCGGGGTGAGTAGATTCTGAACCGATGCCGATATGGTTGGAGCCAGTGAATAGAAAGGGTAGTTGTCGTTTTTGGAAGAAGTAGATTGTGGCTTGGAATGCTGAGAGTGAATCTCGGGCTCGAACGTCAATGTATAAGGGTAATTTTCCTTCTTTGATGATGCTTGTTAAAAACGTCTTGAAGTCGTGTCGATGGAGTTCGATTTTTTCGATCGGTATGCGTTGCCAGAGAAGAGGAGTGCAGAAGGCTCTAGTGAGATTCTCAAGGCTTTCTTCGTCCGAGGATTTGATATGAGGAGTGAATGATTTGGCGAGAGACGCTACAGCTCGGGGGAAGCTTTCGCTTGTAGGATTACCGGTTCGCTCGAGAGTCACTACCTTGGTAATTTCTGCAGCGAAGACAGCCTTGACTCTAAGAATGTTGTTGTCGATGAAGCAAGCCTCTGCTCGCATCGCATGGGACACCGCACGCTCCAGACTCAAGTCCAAGCGTGTGAAATCGACGGTCCAGTCAGGCATCCACGAAGGTCCTCGAATTTCAGAGCGCTGGCAGAGACCCGCTTGATAGAGGAATTGTATGTTGCCGAAGACTTTCAGATACTGGATACAGAACCGCTTGAATAATTCTGCTGTTTTGGGATAGCCGGTTGGAATCGTTTCGACGAAGCCAGTCTTTGCTGCGAGTTTGAGCATGCCGAGACAGCCGTATATCTTGTCTTGTGCTTCTCGACATTGTGCTTGGCGCAGACGAGCTAGCGTGTCGAGAACATCTATGAAGCCCATTCGACCTTTGTAAAAGACTGATGCCGCTGTGGTGAGCAATGCCAGATTGTGTTCGTGTTGGAGATGTGCCGCATCGAAGCCTTTTAGCGAAAGGACTTGGATGGCATTTCGCAAACTACCCATAGTGATGGTAGCAGAGCCACACATGATGAGGCTTGAGTCTGATGCTGCAAACGCTTCTTGGCGGATCCATACGCGAGTGAACCAGGGTCGATCAAGGAGAGCTGTGACCGCCTTATGCTCTCGTCGATCATGAGTGAAGCCTTTCCCCCAATTATTCCACAAGAACACTGCCTGAGAACTTCTAATTTGTGGAATCAGCTCGAGAGTGGTGTGATCGAAGACGAAATTCTCTCCAAGGAGCTGAAGAAAGGCCAGAGCAAAAGTGCTATCATCCGCTTCCGGACCCAGCCAAATTATCACTCGAGAAGCTGCATCGTATACCTCGTGCATCATAGGTATCTGCCAACTCTTCTCAAGTCTGGCTTGATCGCTGGCATTGTCCTGATTAATGCAGATAGCATCTATCCAGAGCGTTCGATCTCGATCAGATAAACGGAGTGTTTGAAGTATAGTGAACAAATTCTCGTAGATTTCCAAGTGCGCGAATTCCAGGCCATTTTGGACTGTGATCGCCCTCCGCGGCTGTGTATCGCTTCCCCAAGTGTATGAGAGCGCCTCGTAATCCTTTTGAGCGTGAATTTCATGTCGTTCAGCTTCTGGATGGATATTCTGCAAGCTGATGCTAATCACAAGCTCATCCTTTGTCTCGCCGTGACGAAGAGTGACGACTCGAACTTGCTTCACGTCTGCCGTAGGTCGCAATAGTTGTTCGTACTGGTAGGAAGGTATAGCAGTGTTCTGCTCCATGGAAGACGTTGTTGCCATGTTGTGAGAATTCAAGTGCATCAAGTGTTCTCAGCTGGACGTCAAGTAGCCATCCTTCCGTAGCTGGCCAATCCCAGACATCGTAGAGTGCGCCACCGGACATTTTAAGCGATATACGGATCTGAGTGATGACTAAGAGGCAGCATTGAGCGAATGTTCGTACTGTCCAGAAATTGGCTAGTGAAGGTAGCATAGTGAACTTTGTCGGGCCACGAACTGCAACAGTCGGTTGACATTTTGTCCCCGCTTCGACTCAGGCCAGAAAAAAGAATCAGCCAGTGTTCTGCATCCTCTGATATTCGTGTCGGTATGCCTTCCCTCTTTTCACATGCCAGACTTCGTCACTGTTCGAACTCTGATCTCCACACAACTCGGTGGTCCAGCCTTTGATGCCTTCTCGTTCTTCTTCAGTGAACGTCATCCCAAACCACTCTTGTAGGCCTGCAATGCGCTCCTCTTCAGTCTTGCACTCTTTGACGATACTTGTCTTGCCGCCTAGATTCTCCTTGATGGTACCGTTCACAAGCATTCGCTTGCCATAGATTTCTTGGTCGCCTGTATGTGCTCCATCGGCAGCCTTGGGCCGACGCAAAAATTTGACGATGATGGCGGTAAATGTTTGGAAGCTCTCTGGATGTGAGCCTGTGTACCAGTTGAGGTTGTGGAAGTCGGGCTCTATCGCTTCATACTCGGCAAATGCATAGAAGCCATTCCAGTCTTGGTCTTTGCTGTTCCGGTATTGGTAGATCCAGTGCTTCGTCTCCGGAGTCCTAAGAAGTTGCATTGGAATATGATCGCGCCAGAGTCGAATTTCTTGGTTTCCTAGATTAACTTGGGGGTGGTCGTGGAGGAGCGGTACGGGAGCAGTCGCGCAGTCGCCACCAAAGCCAACGTCGACGCTCCACTTACTGCCATCGGAGAGCGTCACAATGATCACGAGATGCACCCTTTCCTCATTAGCATAGCTCGTCGGCACTTGGAGAGACAGCTCACCAGCCACTGTAGTCTCCCTGCGGCACTCCATCCACCCGGGCCCTAATTCGAACGGGTGCCAGATAGGATGGAAATGCGAGGCCTCTGAGAACATGATGATAAAAGATAGTGTTCTCCATGCAGTATCCCCCTCTACCACGGGCATTGCCGACAGTCTTCTGGAACGTTCCTTCGGGCCTGATCTGGATGGTATGCGTTGGGTTGTAGTGCAGAGACAAGTTCTCGTATGGTATAGTAGAGATCATGTGAATATGGAGCTGGGTTAAGAGATGGATATCTTTAGCAACATCGCCAGAATACTGTTGCATGTATAGAGGGTGTTCAGGTCCGATTCCGATGTAGGTTAGGTAGTTAGAAAGCTGGGCTCCATTGAAGACGCCTGGGACTGCCATTGCGAAGGAAGTTGGGGAGCTGACGAAGGGATACCTATCTGATCTTATATGCTGGGGTTCCAGCTCGCAAGGATCCCATCAATCTGCTGAGTCCGACAGGGCGTGACTGTATTTTAATTTTCCCAGCGGTCGCTTAATCTTTCAGCCAGTATAATAGGTGTTTAACAACAGCATAAATGGTTCTCTGTTGGCAAAAATACCTAGGTAAGGAGTTCAGCGGCCCAAGAGCGGCGAGATTGGCATCGGATGTATCCGCCATCGAAGCAATGCAAAATCACCATGAGGTGGAGCACCAATGTCTAAATGTTGGCATGTGAAGACGAGCAAGAAAGAGGTGAATGAATGGCCAATTGTGCGGCTTCGGCGACGCAAGTGCAGGCATCATGGATGCTCCACCGAGATCTGCGCTGACGTTCACGAGTCCAGATTAACTTTCGATCAGCATCGATTGGTCGTTTAGAATATTCTCTGTATCGCATCGAAAGACCATCCTGGCACAAATACTGCGATAGCCAGCGACCTCTTCATTGAACGATCGCTGCGTACTGTCAGTCTTCACCGAAGAATCATCAGAACGTCCAGCAATCACAATGAGCTCCAAGCAGGTTGCCCGAGCAGCGACGAAAGCAGCGAAACCATCGAAGGGCACGCGAAATGCTTCCAGGCTGACCCAGCAGGTTGAGCGGGTGGCCACATTATCCTACCAAGCTCGCGCATCGAGAAAACAGACACAGCTCCGAAGGTCCATATTCGCCGTAGTGGCAGCTGGCGGTCTTGCCACAGCGTCCCAATTCTACATCAACAATGGCAACTTCGTCCGCCAAGGCCACGCCGAAGCTCCGGAGCAGGAAGAGACTCCGTTGGTCTTCGAGGAGAGTCGGAAGAAGACATCGAACAGCTTGGAAGAGAATCGAGATATGATCTCCAGCCAGCATCATCAGGTGAAGCGCAGTTGGGAGAATCCTGGCGTGTACGCATGGGGGAGCAACAGCGGGCGTGTCGTGGCACCAGACAGTGATGAGAGATGCATCAAGACGCCAAGGAGGATACCATACTTTGACGGCATGCTGCTGCGAGATATCAAGCTGGATCGCAATTTTGGCGCAGCCATCGACGAAAGAGGTGATCTGATACAGTGGGGCGTGGGTTATGCTCCAGATGTCAAGACACCGGCCAGGACGCTAGAAGGCAAGGACTTGACAAGCTTGTCTATCTCGAAAGATCGCATTCTTGGCTTGTCGAAAAACGGCAATGTGTACAGCATCCCTGCCTCTGCCGAAGACCAAGCAAACGACCCGCAGCCATCAGAGTCGAGCTGGATTCCGTTCTGGAGTGGCAAGAGCAAGATCGCATATCGAAACATTACACCTCAAAATCTCAGTCGGGGCGAGAAGATATCAGCTGTCTCTTCTGGTTTAGAGCATGCTTTGCTGCTCACCAACAAGGGCCGCGTATTCTCAGCTGCCTCAGCTTCTGATGCCTTCCCAAGCCGCGGCCAGCTTGGAGTACCAGGTCTGACATGGCTTACCAGACCCGCAGGTGCATTCGACCAGCCTCACGAGATCACTACCCTACGAGGTTTCAATATTGCCAAGGTAGCTTGTGGTGATTACCACTCACTGGCATTGGACTCAGAAGGCCGTGTTTTCGCTTGGGGCGACAATGCCTCCGGTCAACTCGGCTTCGACTACAATCCAGAATCCATGATCGTGGATGCGCCATCATTACTTCCCCTACAGAAGCTCTACTCTGGCAAGTCACAGACTCCCAAGATCACGCATATTGCAGCAGGAGGCGAGAACAGTTACATCACAGTAGACGCTACTCGTGTAGCATCTCCCAAAGACGACGGTATGGACCCACGAGAACAGCTACAGATCGGCAGAGTCACAGCAGATACCTTCGCCTTCGGGTCCGGCATCAGAGGTACTCTCGCCAACAGCAGATGGACACACGTACAGTCAACACCAAGCAAAATCCCATCTCTATCCGGCCTGTTCGAATACGACGAGAAGACCCACAGCACGGTTCCCATCCGATTACAGCACCTTTCAGTCGGCAGCACGCACGCAGCAGCAGTCATGCAGAACATCACCTACACCTCCGCGAGCCAGCATACCAGCAACGACGACACGAATTGGGGCGCCGACATCGTCTTCTGGGGAGGAAACGAGCACTACCAACTCGGTACCGGCAAGCGCAACAACATGTCCGAACCTACATACCTGCAGCCCCTGGACATGGAGGCTGAGGTGAAGCGCGCGAAGAAGTCGAGCGGCGCCAAAGAGGAGCATAGATTTCACATCACTCCTAGAGCGTATGCGACTCTTGGAGATGGCAGGAGAAGATGGGTCGAGCAGCGCGTCGAGTGCGGTAGGCATTGTACTGCTGTGTACAGTGCGACGGGCTGATTGGGAGGAGGAGGGAAGATTTGTGGGTTTAGCGGCATGTCATGATGGTTGTATATCCATGTAGTAGATTCTGATGAGTCAGAGAAATTTAACGTCATTGAAGTAAGTCGCCTTTCTGGATTTTTTTCTTGGTTTGGGATTGAATGGCTGGCGAACGCGGACGAAGATTCGAGAGATGGCGGTTGGTCTGGATTATACCATAATGAGCAATACATTGAGCGGCTTGGAGCGACCTCGCTGCTCGACCTCGGAGGCACGTGCTTTGGTAATAGCGGCAAGGAGACTGCGCACCGGAAGCGATAGGTTGGCCTGAACAAGGTGGTCGCGGAGGTGTTGTGGTATCGCTAGAAAGCGTCGGACTGTCAAGCATCACGCCTCAGCTCCTGTAGGCCGTCACTCATGGAGCCATCAACGATCTCAGCTCCTAGAACATTGAGTAAAATGGGGCGGCGTGGTGACTGACTCCATCAACGAAGAGACACGTGAGGCAGCGGCGACAACGACAACGAAGCAGCGAGAGAAAATGCACGAACTGGCGGCAGTGATTGTATAAAGACAGTGACATTCATGACACCTACGAATAAATCTACGCTACGAAGATCTTCGGGCTCCAGTACACTGGTAGAAGACATACCACTGTATCTGATGCCCGTCTCTTGCGTCCTTTTGGGAATACATACCGCGTTACCCTCAGACCATACCCCGCCCTTGGCTCACACTGCACGGTCATTACCAGCAGCTGCCCCAAGTCGTGTTGAAAACGAGTGACGGCGACCATCGATACAACGCTTCTCAGCTCGCAGGGTTGAGGTGAAAAGGGCCCAGCCACCGGACGGCCTCACCGAGAGGGTGGTATGGATAGGGAGTTCTTATGATGGGGGTGCAAAGGGGGTGCTTGTCCGGCGACCACTGTACCCAGGCTCTCGATTCGATTCGATTCGATCCAGACCACAAACACACAGCTGGGTGAGGTAGAATGTGGGTTGTCGACATTGCGAATGGGCCAACCCTTTCCTGAATCTCCCCGAGGGCTTAAGAGTTCTCGCTTCGCCTGTCATCTCGCGTACCCAGCTTACGTCGTCTCGCCACTCTCGCTTCCTCCTCTGTACGCCAAACGGCCCGACGCACTATGGTTTTTTTTGCCTAGGCTTATTACGCTTCGCCAGACTCAAGCACTTTTTTGACGCTCAGGAGGTCATGGCCTATTCGCCCTGCGGTGAGCCCTGACCATCTTGTGTGAAGAAGAATGGTTCGTGCTCCGTCTACTAGAATTGCCGCATGCTATCATCAGTCGGTGAAGACCAGTCAAGCAACAACGGAGGACAGCCAGCTCTACCTTCTCGACAAAGGTAGGCGTTACTCTGAGCCTTTCGACGCGTATCCGCTTGAGGATGCCATTGCAGTACCGACCCCTTGTACCACCGAGGCTACCGGCGACCAACGACACGGGCCTGTCAGTGAAGAGAATACTGCAATGGTGCGGTCAATGCTGGACCACGCCCTCGATCCAATCCAGACCCCCGCCGATTTCGTACACCGCAGCCTCGTTCGGTGGCTCGGCGCCCGCATATGGTCCAGCGGGATGGCGACGGAGGGTTTGTGGTTAGGTCACGACCCTGTGTCGAGTGAGAGATCGTAGAGACAATCTGCCTGCAGCGAACGAGGCGCCTAAGCGAGAAAGGCACTTATCAGTCACCGCACCATTTTGCACCGCCGTTCCAGCTCCAGTTCGTTGTGGTTGGTTGCTCGTATCGGTCGGAGCCTCGAATCGGTGGCTTGCGCTCGTGGTCGTGTCGGTCGGTGCCTCGAATCGGTGGCTCGTGCTCGTGTTCGTTGGTCGTGGTCGTGGTTGTGCTGGTGGCCGCCGGACGTGGTGGAAAGAAGAAGTTCAAGTTTGCGCGGCGAAGCGGAAAATTTTTATATGTGTGTGCGCAAGCTCACTTGGCGCTAGTGTTTCAGACGAAGTGATCGAAGTGATCTTGCAGCTGTTGCCTGCTAACGGTCGACGGAAAGGTGACGTTTTTGCGCTTGCGTGCCTTCCGTTTTGGAGGGAAAAGTGGGGCTGGGGTGAGTGAAGGTGGTGTGAGGGTGGAAATTTTGCATACCGCTCTTTTTGGCAATGGGAGGGTATGGAGAGGATTAAAATTGGTGAAGCGACAATGGCATGGCGAGAGACAGAGGTGGAGTTGAGGCAGAGTGGTTTCGAAACGGTGCAGAGCGCACTGACCATGTCGACTTCCAGCTTCACTTCAAGATCGTGCTGCAGCTCTCACGAATCGGCAACAGCTCTCCGTTACATGAGGTGACTTATCGTGGTTGGAATGATTTTTCGCGGCATTGAGATATACGGATGGAGATGAGAAACGTAGGGTTGCTGGCATGTTGGAAGAGGGAATTGTCAGTTGTAAGAGCTGCTGAGAAGTGACGCAGGGAGCTTCATGTGACTTAATGCCTGAAGAGGTTGGTTTCGGGAAGGGAATAGAGAAATGGAATGAATGGTCAAGGTGCATTGAGCACACTACTGATATTCGCAAGCTCTGCACAGGAGAGAATGGACGCTGGCAGAGCACAACGCTATGGACGTATCCACGTTATGATCTGAGTCACTCCAAGAGACTCTCCGGCTTGCTCGCAACCAATTCCGGACCCATGCGCTTCGAGATCTTGAATTCCCGCTCCTTGATCATCATCGGCATCGTGGCCTCGAGATACGGCTTGTAATACTCCTTTGCGAGATGTGTTTTCATAAACCATTCTACACTGGCGTTCCAATTCTCAACCCAGGAAAGTGTGCCTGGATTTTCTGGATCCTGGTTCATATTTGTCAGGACGACGTTTCCTACATGCGGCAACGGCTTACTTTAAAGACTTCAAAGTATACGCATTCTGGCGTTGCGAACGTGGAGGCTGAAGTTTGAGAGCTGTGGGACTTTGAGGTCTAGAGACATGGTCGTGGCTGGAAGAATGAAACTGGGGCCTGGACTGCTTCGATATTATGTGCTCGGCCACTTTATGCCTACCTTATGCCAAGGTGCAATCTCAGCTACCAAGACTCGCTTGGAGATGAAGGAGTTGCGAAGGATCTCGCTATGGAGACCTCGTTCTCGGTGAATTCGAAATCGCCGAGTCACACGATATTTCAGCTGGCAATTAACATTCTGGATAAATGAAGCTGAGGCTTCATAGAGCTGTCAGTAAGATCAATACATGGCGCAATCCGTAAAGTCAAGTGGACGGCTGAAAGTCTGGTTTGGAATTCAGTGGCGCCATCATCTGGCATCTACGATGAGGATATGTGAGCCAAAAGCTCCCTTCTCTACGTCGGGAATTCTATCTACTCCTTAGGCATCTTCCCCAGCTTCTTGCCTATCTTGTCCTCCAGAATTCCATAGAAAGTTGAGGTCCCAGTACCGAAATCGACGAGCCACTGGCGCAGTGCTTCCAAGAGAACATCATTCCAAAACTCAAGTTGCGACTTTTCCTCCGGTATCGCACTCTCGACCTTGCTCGATAGCCCAGGCTTGTGAGTCTTGACAGCTGCCTTTTCTTCTTCCCCTCCCAGCATGCAAATCACATTGGAGTAGTCTCGCATAACGAATGAGGTCTTGTCCTTGCCGAAAAGACCTCTGATGTAGAGGCCGTATATGACATCGTACAGTGTGCCTTTCCCTGATTCATATCGAATTAGCTGGCCTTCTTCCAACTCTGGATCGCCGGTTGAGAGCTTCTCCGCGACTTTGGCGTCTGCTTGGAAAAGCTCGCCAATGGAGCTGTCTGGCTCTTCAGTCTCGATCCAGTCGATGACGGCTGTGAGGAGCAGGCACTTAATCGCGACCCTGGCCGGCTCCGAGACTGCGCTCATAGCGGTGATAAATCTGGCAAAGTCGGGATTACTGACAGAGAAGCCTTTGAGATGAGCGACGTCAGTTGCCTTAAGCTGATCTGGGGCTGCGAAGAGCTGCCGAAGGAAGTCATGCAAATTGGTAATGGGCCCGCTGACGAGATCATCATCGTCATTATCTTGCTCGGATTCATCTTCTTGCTCGTCCTCCTGTGCAGCTCGCTGAGTGCTAATCAGGAACATATCTTTGTAGTCATCATCCAGGCCTCGACCAGGGGCCTTTGCCCAGTTTTCCAGAGTTCTCTGTGCTCGAACGTACCATTTGCGGACAGGGAAGCCCCGAGCAGCTGGAATTGGACAGGAATGTGCTGCGCGGAGGTGCTTAAAGATGTGCCCACGTTCCCTAACTTGTTTGTCTTGACAGCCCGCTACAGGGCAAGTGGCATGATTATTGCCGTGGACGCGTAATCTGTGTCTTCGCATCGCAGCAGATGTGGCGTACGGATGGCTGCAGCCTTCGGGACAGAGAACCGTACCATAACTCTTGCCTTGATGGATCTTCTGGTAGTGTTCCAGAATGTCCTCTGCATGAATGCCTGTCTTCGGACAATCCTTTAGAGGACATTTGTACGTCTTGACCTGGCCTTTGAAGGAGGATGTCAAGCTTTTGATGAAGTTCTCAACATTGTTCCTCAACGTGGAATCGATGCTGCCATCTTCTGGGTTTGGATTCCTGAAAGATTTTTTCGAAGCCATGATGTCTTCAACGATCGCAAGTGGCTTGATGAATTGGGTATCTACACGAAAGCAAAATCACTTATACTCCTGCTACTCGTCGCCTTTTCCTGCCTGCCTTTGTCGAGAAGTTTGCTGCGTCCCTCTCGCAACATGCCGAGCGCGCTGGTGGATTGTACCTGCGCGATAGCAAGCATTGCCGCTGCAAAGACGCGTCTGGAATCATCACTGTCTGCGAATGAAAGGTGGTGGATTCTAGGCGTGTGTAAGCAGGGCCTTGCTGCAATGTACGTGGCAGGAAAAGGCACTTGGGAAGATTTTCTTTGAGCAACCCACGGCCTGTCACCTCCCTATCCGCAGCGGTCAGCGAGAACAGTGACGTCTTTGCAGGAGGTCTTCTGCAATATGCAGACTTCGCAGAGTGATGACGACCGGTACAATAATGCCGAGAAGGGAAACGCAAACAGATCCCTGGTCCCTTATGCGTCTCTGAGCCAATGCTATGGCGAAATCGGCGTACTTCCATATGGGAGCAGATGCAGTGCGACATTCGAAGCTGTGAGAAGAGCGAAACCATCTGATTACATGAAGTACCTGTGTGGGCCAGGAGTGAGTCTTCCAATACCTCTAGGATTAGCAGTGGTCGTCGTGCATGATCAGGGCCCGTGGAAGTAAGTAAGGGATCCGAGATCCGTGGAGTGTCTGGAGGCTGCTACTCTTGCCTTCGCTTGCCATGAATCAAGTCATCTACGAAGATTCTCGCACGCGCGAACGGGGTAAGGACAACGAGCACGGAGCCCTGCGATATCAGTCTTGCTATTTTGCAAACGTGCTGATGTCTATCCGCTAAAGTGCTGCAAAGAAAACACCTGCTCCTGCATCAGGGCACACCCAGGCCATTTATTTCGCCTTGCTCGTTCTGCTGTGTGCCTCCAACGCTATAGCTGGCCCGCCATCGCATCTTAACGGTCGTACCCTTGCCTCTTTCTACACCTTGCAGATGTATCGTCTGCGTCACACCATTTTGTTGCTTGGGACCAAGACTTCGTCCGGACTGCGGTTCAAGCTTGAGAGTATACCCCTGCAAATGATTAGCGTATGTTGTTGGAGAAGATACTGGAGAACTTGATTGAGACTCACCTTCGTCACTGCCAGTTGAAACGTCAGGTCCGAGACGGGCTGGTGAGAGGCATTTGATATCCGGCTCTTGATCAGCAATTCCGAGTCATTGGCTCTTGACACATCAAAGATCGTGTGTATCCCGCTGTTGGTCACAGTAATGCTTGTTGGTCCATCAGGTAGCGCAGAGCTGAATTCCCACTCGTCGTCACCTCCGGTCGCGGGTGCAGGGGCGGTCGCTGATGTACCATTGCCCATGCCGAGAAGATCGACAGGCGCGCCAGTTGCTGGAGGCGCTGGCGATCTTGGTGGTGCTTGCTGGAAAGACGCTGGTGAGCCTTGTCGTGGCGGCGTGTTCAAAGCAGCAAATGGATCTGACTTCTTTGCTTGGGTGGCTTGCTGTAATGACAACGGGATTTGGGTTGCTGGCTTCGAGGCAGATTGTGATCCTGGAGCAAACGCATTGCTGAAGTTCGACGCTTGTGCTTGTGGTGCTAGTGATGCCGCCGGAGGTGCAGCTCTAGGTTGGATGTTGAAGATCGAGTTCGCAGCGGGTTGATTGAATTGTGCCATGATGTCGGATGTGCCGAGTGAAATGCCACCGCCTTGTCCGTAGTTTCCATCTCCCATGTTCAGCCCAAGAAGGTCGTCTTCCAGAGCATTGCCTGCTGGCTTCGGTCCTGTGGGTGCTGCTGACGAGTATGGAGCGTCTGCGCCCTCTTCTGGTCCTCCAAAGTCGATCAAGGAAAGCTCATTGTTTGCGCCTTGCTTGACGCCAGCTCCACTGACGCCTAGAGTGCCTTTTGGTATCGCATTTGCACCCTCGATGTCACCCTTTTTCATCAGCTTGTATCGTTCAATAGTTCTGTGTATGCTGTCGTTAATCTCAAACAGCTTCGCGACAGCCTCGTGATCCTCACTCTCCTCCTCGCACATCTTCTGGATTTTGGGATGCGCGCTGGCCAATGCAGCGGCAAGCTCTTCAAACACGTCACCATCCTTGATCTTGTCGCCAGGCTTGTACTCGCTCATCATCTCCTCCAACAGCTTCGCTTTCTGCTGGATCTTGCCTACCTCCTCGGCAGCCTTGGCTCGGTAGTCGGTCTTGTGTCTCGTGTCATAGCCAGCCATGACTTTCATCAGCTTGTTCGCTTCCTGCAAATCATGCGGCGTACCTCTGCGAATAAGCTCTTGAAGCTTCGCACTCTGCGCCGCGCGCTCTTCCGCCTCCATCTCATCAGCACTCTTCAGGTTATCGCTTGGGTTGAGCACAGCGGCATCCTCGCGACTGATCTGTGGGAATTGGTAACCCTTGTAATGCAGCAGCCTGTGCATATCCCGAATGAATCCAAGATCCTCCTTGTATTTTGAGGTCTCGCATATTGTCCTCCGCCATTCTTCAATCAGCTCCAGTATCCTGTTCTGTACTCTTGTAGTTCGTATTGGCGGTCGCTCTGGGAAGCGCCGTACCAGCTCATTGAGGAATTCCTTGGTGGAAATTTGGAGATGAAATGGGTAACCACAGTTCTTCACACATATATCAAGCAAGCTCAATGCCAGTAATGAGACGTTGGGATTGCGGTGGTTGATGTACTGGACTATGGCCATTGCTGCCTCTCGGGGCGCGCCGGCCTTCTTGGCATTGATCAAGTCGGCGACCTCCAGACATAATGCGAGATTGGGCTCGAAGTTCTCGGGCGAACATGCTTGCTGAATGTATCTTTGCAGAGGAGTGGCAGCTGGTTCGGCAGGATATGCGAATCGGTCGCGGGCGGCGTAGCGGGCGGATGCTGCTTCCATATTGAAGTGATTGAGGCGCGAGGCCTCCAAGAAGCTGTCGAATTCTGGTGAAAAGGGTCCAAGTATATCAAAGAAGCGTTGGCAGGGATGTTGCGGAGGACTACCGTGTGCATGTGAAAGTTGTCCTGCGCAGCGTAGCTCCGTCGCCGCACTGCAGCGCAAGTCACAACTCCAGCAGGCAAGAGCATTCGACGTCGTCAGCCACGTTGTTTGGAGGGGTCCTCATTAGAGTTGCCGTTGCGGCTGCGGCTGCTTAGTCACAATCCCTGCTCAGGAAAGAAAGTCGCGACCTTCGAAGATCTCGAGAAGCATCACTTTGTATGGCGACTTGCATACTGCTGCAAACATAACACGCGCACAACATTGCATAGCGCAGCATGGACGACTTCAACAGCCTCGAGTCAAATATCAAGTCGGCGCTCGTATCGACAGTCCGCAGCGCCAACTCGCTCGCCAACGAAGATCTACCATTCCATCGATCACTCGATTCAAAAGTCGCTCCTGCGCTGGATCAGCAGAATGCGCGCCTACTGAGTCTTGCTGAGAGACTGGTGGGCGCAGCGACATCGAACACGGAGATCGTACGTCCGCCGCGCTTAAAAGACCTCGATTCCGTAGAAGGCAATTGGCGTGCGGTGGTTGACGTCGTCGACAGCCTGCTTGAGCGTGCCGATACTGCGCTGGACGAGTTCACTGGCGCTGTGAAGAGATTGAGTCCTGGTGTGGAGCAGGTAACGCCCCCAAAAGAACCGCATATGGAAAGAGACGCTGAAACTGTGACAAGGCAAATGCTTCCGCTTCCAATCCTCCGCGTGCTGGCCGAGCGAATAAAGCGGGTAAAGACCAGCAGCTCGAAAAGCCGCAGCTGCAGTTTCAACATGTGCCAAAGAACGATGAGACTCCTCCCTTCAAGCCGCTGCTTCTGAGCAAGCCTCACGCAGTTGTGCCTCTGGAGACCGAGCCCATTGCTTCCGACGGCGAATCACAAGCATCGTATGCCTCACATCTCCTTATGCATTCACGACTTGCTGCCCTTGATCATCAACCCTATTTCCATCTCATAAGGTCGAGACGAACAAGTACATCAATATTGACCCAACACTACCAAACAGGCACCCACATCCATACCAGCTCGAGATCGAACAGTACCGATACCCTTCCTCGATGTATACACAGAGTGAGCCAATCATGCACCACCCATTCGAAACGACGACAGCGACACTTGTCGATTCGGAAGTCGCACTCGATGCTATGCTCAAAGAACTCAAGCAAGCCAAAGAGATCGCCATTGATCTCGAACACCACGACATAAGGACATATATAGGTATAGTATCACTGATGCAGATCAGCACGCGCGATAAGGATTGGATCGTCGACACCTTGAAGCCCTGGCGACGGAAGCTGCAGTGCTTGAATGAGGTCTTTGCAGATCCGAACATCCTCAAAGTCTTGCACGGAGCTTACATGGACATCATCTGGCTTCAGCGAGATCTTGGACTATACCTTGTGGGTCTGTTCGATACACATCACGCTGCCCGAGCTTTGGGCTACCCCGCCGGCAGTCTGGCATACCTCTTGAAGAGATTCGCAGGCGTAGATGCGCAGAAGAAGTATCAGACAGCAGACTGGCGCGTACGACCTTTGCCGCAGGCATTGTTCGACTATGCGCGGAGCGACACTCATTATCTTCTCTACATCTTTGACAACCTACGCAACGAGCTCATTCAGAGGTCGGACTTTGGCCTGCCCAACCACGAAGGCGACAAGCTTTGGGACGTTCTCACCAAAAGCTCAGAAACTGCTTTGCAGAGATACGAACACCCCATCTACGACGTCGAGAACGGACAGGGGTCTTTCGGCTGGTACAAGCTCCTCGCCAAGACGTCGGCCATGTTGACGAAGGAGCAATTCTCAGTCTTCCGAGCAGTACACCAATGGCGAGATGAGGTCGCAAGAGAACAAGACGACAGCACCAACTTTGTCATGCCAAATTGGCAACTCTTCAACATCGCCAAATCAATGCCGACCACGCGGCAAGCTCTGTTCAGTCTTGGTGCGATATCGCAGACTGTACGTTTGCGAGCAGGTGAGCTTGCAGCACTGGTCGCCAAAGCCAAGAAAGAGGGCATTAATGGTCCTGAACTTGCGGAAGTCCTTAGCAAGCCCGAACACTCTGGGCCAAGAAAGTCCACGTCTCAGAATGCGGTCTCAAAACCGTCACCAACTGCTGTAACTGAAACTCCAGCGCCGACCACAAGTATTGCTACCACTGATATGCCACTGCGGAGCTCGAAATCTTCGTTCTGGGGACCAGCGTTCGACAGCAGCGTTTGGAAGGACCAAACCAGTGCAGATTCTACACCGTCCGCAGTCTCGCTCTCCGTCCCACTCCCGCCTCTGACAGCAGGGATCTTCGCCGATCCAGCAGAGTTTACTCCTGCCAGAGTCGAGCGTGAGCCTACCCCAGAACCAACGCCCACCAAGCAAGAAACTGCTACAGATGACGATGTCTTTGTGCTAAAAGACCTCAGCAAGAAGCGCAAGCGTGGCACTGATCATATGGACGGCATGGCTGCGAACTCAGACGAAGTCACCCTCGTTGACGTGGATGATGCTGCACAGCGTGCTCGAGAAAAGGCTGATCGAAAAGCTGCCAAGAGAGCTGCTAAAAAAGCCGCGAAAGCCGCTGCCGCAAGTGTACAAGGCGAAGAAGGTGTCGCGAGAGAAAAGATCAAAGAGGACGACGAAGAGCCATTTGACTATGAGAACGCAGCGAGCATTCTCAATCCGCCCAAGGAGAAGCTCTCTGCCAAGGAGATGAAGAAGAGGCAGAAGCAGGTCAATCCCTATGCCAAAGCTCTGGACACTGCCAAGGGGTTGCCGAGGACACAAAAGGAGAAGGCGGGCAGAAGCATGACTTTCAAGTCTTGAGCAGTGACAGACAGCACCATCTTCGCGGTGGTCACCACGAAGCGGTCATGAGCCACTTGTCTCGGTCACGACGCTGCACGCACAGCGTTATGCGCCTCCAGGCCCACCGTTAATGCTTCGACTTGAGCGAAGCTTGCATAACCATAACGAAATGAACATTCTCCCACAAGGATTGATGTCGATCCTTCCAACCGAAAAGCAGGTGTCCCTCAACCCACCTCCTCGCCATCCACTCTCGCCACGTCGCCGATCAAATCATCCCCTCTCTACTCATTTCCTCGCGCTCCGCCCCAATCTCCCTCATCTTTGCCCCAACATACTCAAGAACACTCTCCTGCAACTCCTCACCACATTCCACCATGTGCTTCCCTATGTGCTTCCTCGCTATGTGCTTCACCCTCATCCCCAACACATCTCTCAGCTCAAACCTGTTCTTCCCATCAATCTCTTCCCAATTCCTTCTCATGCCCTCTACAAGCGGTAACACCTTCTCTCCAATCCACCTTACCAATCTCTCCTCGGCAGAAAATCTTCGCCTCTTCTGCGCACCATCATTATCATCGCAAGTAAAAATTTTCCAACAACCCGTCCACTCGGAGCACTCCATTGTAAAGTCGAGATCATTTTAAAAAATCCAGAAACTTCGCACTCGAGAGGTGTTCCAGAGTGTATTCCACATATCCGCAAGATGGCGAAAGACTTCTATACCTCAACTGCAATCTCTGGATTTTTGGGGCTGACTGCGGGATGCGGTGGACGAATGTTTTTAAATAGATTTCGGTCATGGATAGGAGTGTTTTGTTGTAGAGAAGGGAGCGGGATTCTTGGTAGATTTTTTGATTTGTGCGGAGGAGAGAGAGGTTTGCGTTTTGGATTGTGCATGGGAAGGGGATGGCGAAGTGCCCCATGGTTGCGCCGCAGATTGTACTGCCGAGAGACAATTGGATGGTCGTTCCAAAATTACATTTCATTCGTGATCGAGGTTCTATCGTCCTTGGTATACCCGCAGTGCTTTTGCTGTGTCGGCGTGTTCGACTATCAGCCAGTACGCCTACAACGCCTTGGCATTACCCACTCAAACGTGCCTACTTGCATCTCTTTTCAATGATCTTAGCGCCAAACTCCTCATACTCCTGCCTCGAGATCCACATCTGGTGGAAAGTGCCCAAACTGCCAAGCACACTACCACCAATCCATGCGCCATATTTCCGCTCGACGCTGTTAGAGTTTGCGATGACACGTACTTTCGGGTTGGGGTAGATGGCTGTAAGGTCGCTTTGTAGTCGCTCGGGCAGCTTCTCAATCAGCGAACCTGCACCCGTGAGAATGATGTTATTCATGTAGGCTGGTCGCTGGTCGATGTCGCAAGCCTCAAGAGCCTTGTGCACTATTCGAGTAATGGCCTCGTCCTGCTGAGGCTTAGGATGTTCGGCATCTGAGTAGGCAGCATTGTGATCAAAAAGACCTTCGGCAACCTTGAAGCGCTCCATTCCAAAGACCTGGTTCCATCCATCTGGCATCTCGAACGGCTTAGGAGGGAGCTGCTTGACGTGGTCCAGGTTCGAGAAGCCGCCAGGCGGAGCAGGCGCTTCCAAGCGTTGCGGTCCCGGCCAAGCCTGCACCACGCTCTCTTTGAAAGCTGTCAGTACGCGCTCTTCTTCCAGTCTTCGGAAGCTTTCTGTGGGTGGCTTGTCGAATTTGACATAGGTTGCATTGCTTGGTGCGCCTGCATCGACAGGCTGTTTGGTCTTGACCATGTAGTGCGGTACAAGAGGCACAGGTGGCGACATTGAAGAGTACATCAAGCGTATTTGCTCGTTCAACCACTTTCCGGCAAGAGGCGTGTGGTGTATGCTCTTCTTCAGCACCATGCCTTCGTACATGGCTGTGACTGCGGTGTTGAGGTGACCGATATCGACTATCAGACCTGTCGCCTTTCCTTGCGAATACGCCGCCAGCTGTCCATTCTTGGCAAGGAAGAAGGCAGGCACTCCCCATTCCTCCATGGCAATCTCCATCGTTTTCTCGCGCGCCTTTTGGGGATTCCAGGCGGGTTCGCTCATCATGAGCGGGTATTCTCCCAACACTTTCTCCTGCTCGTCCATCTGTTCTGCCGCTTCGTCCATGTTCACATCGCCATTTTCGTCCTTGTTGCCATCATTCAAGCCGTTCTTGCTAGGCGGTGTTTGCCTTGCTCCCGTCAATCGCGATGTGATACTGTACTCCCACAAGCGTGATGCGGTCTCCCAATCTTCGACGATACCATCTGAGCTGTAGGGGTTGCGGATCTCGAGATCTGGTTTGGGCAGGTGGATAGCATTCTCGCCAAACACTTTGTCGCCGGAAGGTGTGAGAGCATAGCTGGTTGGCACAACCGATTTGGGAGTATCTTCGCCTGCAAAGCCCGCGCGCGTCGTATAGCTGCCAGGATCGAGAATCAGAGCGCTGATTTCGTCGCCAGCATATTCCTGCGTGCCTGGGGCTTGCGTCGGTGGGAGAGTAGCCATGGTGAGTCGCGTAGGCGCAGTATTTGTAAATGCAAGTCGAGATTACTTCATGCAAGTATCAATGTGTTTGCGACTACGACCGAGTCGGTTGAGTGTATACAGACGGGCTCTTTCAGGCCGGGAATGTGTTTCTGCTCTCCATCATCATGGAAACGTGAAGTCGCTTTCGACGCGACTTCTGGGCCTCGAAACGAGGTCCGCCAAGAACTCGCGTTCTCCGACGGCACGTCTCCTGAACCATCTTACCACTCCTTCATCACAACACCTCCACCATGCGAATAAGAGATCTCTACAAGGTCGAGACTCTCGACACGCGGTTTGCCGGCACTGGACAGCCTTTGGCTACAGCAGAACCATCAAAATGGAGATCACTGGAGTTCGTTCCCTACTACATTGCCTTCTTGACCATAGTCCCGGTTATGTTCAAATCGGTATATGATGTTTCAATTCCAAGCCATCCGAGCTATAAACATTATGAGGGTCTTCTTGAACCAGGCTGGATTCCAGGACGAAAGGTCGACAACTCGGACTCCCAATACTCTGGCTTTCGAGACAATATACCTTACATGGGTCTGGTGCTGATACTTCACCCACTGCTCAGAAAAGCTTATGAATCCTTGCGAGGAGGCAGCTCGGCAGCGCATGTCAATGGGTCGGCAAAGCCATCAGAGGGAATTAAATCGGATACCGCAGATGCCAGACTTGAATCACGCATTCGCTTCGATGTAGGCTTTGCTCTGATATTCATCACAGCGCTACATGGAGTATCAGCCCTCAAGGTTCTTACCATTCTCTATCTTAATTACCAAATAGCCACAGCACTGCCCAAGCAGTACGTTGCCGTCTCGACTTGGATCTTCAATATCGGAGTCCTCTTTGCCAATGAGCTGTGCCATGGTTACAAGTTCGCCGACATTGCAACAGTCACCTTGCCGCCCACGGCTAAAGGTGCCGAGACACCTGTTGGAGATAATTGGGGTTCGTGGATTGATGGATTTGGTGGGCTTATCCCACGCTGGGAGATTCTCTTCAATATCACTGTGCTTCGCCTCATCGCATTCAACTTCGATCATCTGTGGATGCTAGATCGCAGAGCAAGCTCTCCCATCGAAGTGAGACCCATACCGTACCTTCATGACCTTTGTTCAAGCTAATGCATTTTAGAAGAAGGGACTAGATCCTGCAAACTTGTCAGAGCGAGAACGAACGTCAGCTGGAGCCAAGCCAGCCGATTTCACTTTCCGGAATTATCTTGCATACGTCCTATACTCTCCTCTCTACCTCACTGGGCCTATCATCAACTTCAACGAATACATCAGTCAGTCTCGCTACCCACTCTCATCGACATCAAGAGATCGCATCGTACCTTATGCAATCCGCTTCTTCTTGTGCCTCCTTTGCATGGAGCTAGTCCTACATTATCTGTACGCCGTCGCCATCAGCAAGTCAAATCCAGACTGGAATGTCTTTACGCCTTTCCAGCTCAGCATGCTCGGCTACTTTAATCTTCACATCATCTGGCTGAAGCTCCTCCTGCCATGGCGCTTCTTCCGCCTTTGGTCCCTCGTCGATGGCATCGATCCTCCCGAAAATATGGTGCGGTGCATGTCCGACAACTACTCAGCGCTAGCATTCTGGCGTGGCTGGCATAGATCTTTCAACCGGTTCGTGGTACGCTACATCTACGTGCCGCTTGGTGGATCAGGCAAAAGCAAGTTTCACGGCATTGCGAATTTCTTGGCGGTCTTCACATTCGTGGCGCTTTGGCACGATATCAATCTTCGGCTTTTGATGTGGGGCTGGCTCATCACCCTTTTCGTTCTGCCAGAGCTTATTGCGACGCTGACGTTTCCTGCGAGGAAATGGAAGGACAGGCCGAATACTTACAGAGTTCTCTGCGGTGTTGGTGCTGTTGGTAATATTCTCATGATGATGGCCGCAAATCTGGTTGGCTTTGCAGTCGGCCTTGATGGTCTCAAGGGGTTGGTAAATGGCATCGTGGGCAGCATGGGAGGTCGCATTTTCTTGGTGGCAGCGTGTGCGACGCTCTTTGTCGGCGTGCAGGTCATGTTTGAAGTGCGACAAGCAGAGAAAAGAAGAGGTGTAAATATGAAGTGCTAAGACACCGTGTATTTTGACAATCGATTGGAATACTTAGGTCTCTTTGGCCGACCACTCGCCTCTCACGGAATGCTCGGCATATTTTGAGCAGAACCACTACAGACTGGAGGTTCTTGCGAACGCAGCTCCAAGAACCACGCTCCATTGATGATACTGGTTGCGTACATAAGACCTCACTTTGGAGCGAAGACGACAATGGCACACGGCCTGTTCGGAATCCCTGGAGCCCTTCAAACGTTTATGTTCCGTCCTGCATAAGGCACTCCAAGCATCAACGATACTATGCTACCAGCCACCCCTTAGTCTAGCACGCGCGCAACAGTCAAGTGCATAATCCCTTAAGCGAGTAGACCCGTCGGAAGTGGATATTTGCTCATGTGATGTCTACTCCTTCGCTCACATGAAGCAAGCTAGCAGCTTCACATGCTGTAGTGCATACACTAGTCAAAGCTTCGCTGCGCACAAAACATTTCAACTTCTAATTACAAAATCACTTTGGCTGCACGAGTCGAAGCGCGACACTTGGAGCCCTACTGGTGATAGAGAGACTCTGGCGCTATTGGCACGTATCATCTCGCCCACTGCACGGCTTCTATCTAGCTTTATACTGACCCCTCGACAGCGCTCAAAGTCCAAGATGGCACAAACCCTACTACAACCTCGAGTCGGCTTCCTCAACTTGCCGGCCGAGGTGAAGAACTGCGTCTACGAGCTGGCGCTTCATAGCGATCCCGATTTCATCTTAGGCTCTATCTCCCGCACACAATTCGGCAAACTATACGATTCAAATCGACTTTCTCCAAACATTCTCGCCACCTGTCATCAGGTCTGTAATAAGGTAAGCGACAAGTACGAACCTGTCATGTTACGACGCTTCTACCGCCGGTCTTGACGGATTCGCCTGCACGCGAGTCTGGATTTTGCTGACTTTCCTACTTGTCCCTAGGCATCGCCAGTCCTCTACGGCTCAAACACCTTCGAGATACCACCAAACATGATGCTCCAGTTCTGCAACCAGATCGGCAACAACGCGAAGCACGTTCGATACCTCATTCTCTCCCGATCCATTCCATCGCAGTACCCGCTAGGTATTCTCAGCCTTCTGCGACTCCAAGGGCTGTGTTCGCTGAAGCTTTACCTCGGTCCAATTCCCTTCGGTTCGAGCTTCCGGAGCCCATGATAGTGATATAAAGCAGCAGAAAAGCATTGCAAGACGAAGCCTCTGTGGTTGATGAAGTCGTGTTGCTGTCCAGCCAAGTTCACTGCCCAAAATTTCGGAAGAATTCGGCCCGACAGCGCCAAGTCTTGAGATCCTGCTCTCTCCACCACCAACATCACTTCTCCAGCGCGTATCTCTCTCAAGAACATCATCTCATAGCACACCCGTCTCCGAAATTTTCCCACTTGCATTCCAATTGATTAGACGACCCGGAAGACTCTCATCGCGTGCCAGCACAACACTCTTCGTCTTCGCCTCTCCAAAGTCCGCCGAGTTGTCACAATCAGCACAAACTCACGCCTTTTGATGCCTTCCTTCCCCAGTACCTCCATCTCATCTCATGCCAAAGTGACGGCTTCATAATCGTATCGGACCTGGTAACGCAGGATGCTAATCACGTGCCTTGTAGCGAGGGTTTTGGGCCCGTGCTTTCCCATGTCAGGGCTTGCGATTGGAATTTCTAGACATCACGCCAGTTCATTGAAATGTTCATCCAACACCACGAGTCCACAGTCGACTATTGCAAGCTCGCACGCGCAGACGTAGATTCCACTCACACCTGTATACCGACCCCACATATCTAAATCTGCAAAGACCAACCAAAATGCCTACCAAAAGACTCGAAATCCTAGCCATAGCCTTCGCTGGCCTGAATATTATGGATCTAACCGGGCCAAGCGAAGTCTTTGGAAGTTCTCGTATCCCTACTCGAGAACGTCGCATCACAATTGCATCTTCGCAAGACACCATCGCCTCATCCGAAGGCATAATTTTGAAACGACAAGTTTCACTCCTGGAGCTTTTGGCCACCAAATCAGACGGAAGCATAGAGCTCAGTCGATACGAGATTCTAGTTATGCCAGGAGCTCCGCCGGGAAATGTGCAAAAAGCCATCGAGGACGACGAAAATCTGCTCGCGGTGCTGAGGACTTTTGCAGGCTTTGGTTCGTCAGGAGGCAGGCATAGATGGATTCTCTCGGTCTGCACTGGAGCTGCGTTTTTGGGTACTATAGGTGCCTTATCTGGCAAGACTGCGACATGTCACTGGTCTTACCTGGACACGCTGCGTGAGATCTGCAGAGCCAACAACGCTCCGGGCGAAGAGACAAACGTGGTTCGGAAACGGTGGGTCGATACGGGCAGGAGTCCTACTGGTGTACGGATCATCACAGCTGGAGGTGTCTCTTGCGGTATCGATGCGGCGCTGTGGATCCTCAGCGAGCTATTTTCGATGGAAAAGGCCCGCGAAGTGGCGAAGGGAATGGATTATGATTGGAAATTTGGCAAGAATGAATTTACTGAGGGGTGGGTGGTTTAGTGACACCAATGCGATATCGATGTTGTGTATCAAGCCAATTTCCGTCACGAGAGCGATTAGACTGTTCGCGTTCAGACACAATTGCTTACTTGACGTGTCCTCCAGTTATATCGAAAAACGTTCGGCAATTTTTGACGGCGTGCTTGGTGATGGAACTAGCCCAGATCGTTTCCATCAGCCTTGAATGGTGCCCGACCAGTTGAAAGAAGGGAGATTGAATGTAAACTGCATTGAGGGATGCAGATAGATGTTTTAGGCTGCAGGCTGCTCGCCATGGGGCCAAGGCAACATCATCTCGTCGAGTAGTGTGTATCGCTGGCGGCAAGACACCTGCCTGCCTGCCTGCCTGCAAACTTCAGGATCTCTTCCGCCAGACTCTTATCCGTGCGGGCCAATATCCCACCAATTCCAGTGCTTTAGCATGTAGTGAATCATCAGTCACATCCGATTGTTCCACAGCATCGAACCAGTAAGTCTTCTGCTTTCCGAAACCCATCCCAGCCGAAACCAATATGCAATGCCTTCTTCCCATCATCCTCATCAGTACGCCGTCCGACTCATTTCACCTTGCCGAATGCTCGAATAGTCGAGCGACTTAGTCACTTTCCTCCTCATCGTACATCTTCGACCCGTATCGGCACCTCCTTACCCCATGACATGATCTTGACATTCTTGCCCAAAGCCGCCATCTCCGCCCGCAAGCTTGCATCGAGACCACTGGCAAACTTCTGCGCAATTACGCAAAGGCCACTGCGTCGCAGCAGCTCTACGTTAAGACTCTCGATTTGAGGGAGTCTGAGAATAGCTGCGATTGGAGCAAAATCCGGGGTGAATCTATGAAAGCCAATCGCGTTCAAATCAATCAACAGTCGAACATGCTTCAAGGATGGATAGTCTAGCGAGAGTCGGTGCAACAGAAGCGAGATGGCGTTTGAGGGTGTTTCCTCGTCGAAAAGCTTGATATCGAGCGCAGTGAAGGTTGATAGGAACACAATTTTCGTAACTTTTTCCTTGCCGTGTACAGGGATTTTTGGGAGCGTAGCATGAATTTCTCCACACTCTGGAAGCCTGAGACGAAGCTCCGTAGTGCCGTACATCACATTGAACGCTTCTTCGAACACAAGATGATTGACGGCGAGTATCTGTGGATGAACTGGACGTGCACATCGGCACTTGAGTTGCTCCTCTGGCCCCTCGAACCGACTGTCGACGTAGCAGGAGTGAGGCAAGCCGTAAGGGGTCTTGAGATCCGTGATCCTGCTGCCATTGAGCAGGAAGTCATAGATGCGCAGCCTCATTTCCGGCGGAATGCCCATAAACGATGCTCGCTTTGGCATCTTGTCATCGGGAACTATGATGCTGTCATTCGCACCAGACTCGTTCGATGGTAGTGATTGCGCGGACGCGTCTTGATCGGTGGTAGTCGCCGTTGGAACGCTGCCGAGGTTGTCGCCAGCCATGGTCGTTTTGGTATTTGTTTTTGACTTGAAATACTACCGGACTAGTTAGCTGAAGATGTTAATATGGCATCGGCGTGATTTTGCGTACCTTTTGGAGCGCAATTGCACCCTGGCGATATTGTGGTCGAGCTTGCGCGCGGCGACAGATGTTCTTGTTCTAATGATCGCCTTGATCGCCTTGATCGCAGAAAGTAGCGCACCTTGTCAGGTGTGACGTAGTGACCCAAGTCGGCGCTTGAAGTCGAAGTTTGTGGTGTTGAAGTTCAAGTCGTATAAAGTATCGTTCAAGCCCTACAGTGCTTGTCCTATTCGAGCGGAGCGACGGCGTAGAGCTCGAGAACAAATTCAGATTAGCGCCTACTAGAGCGCTTGTATCTATGCTACTATAACTATATATTTATCGCTATATCCTTTACTCGAAGGTCTCGTTATCGTTATTACCCTACGCTATCTCTAAGTCTTTCTCCTAATTGCGACGTAATCGATTATCGAAGGCCTACTAACGCGCCTATTTATTAACTAAAGCAATTTAAATGCGTATATCTTTATTAATCTCCTTATCTCTAGTGTCTATTATCTTAGTATCTTACTCTTACTAGGTGCCCTAGTCGTACTAAGTACCCTATTAGCTATCTATAATATTACTAGCTCGAAGGAGTTGTTCTAACTAAGACTACTAGGCTCGGCGGTTAGCATTAACATTGCGCTAGAAGGTCTCGTTATTAAGGAACTCGCTAGCGACTTGTCGATCGCTAAGACAACCCTAATCTTAATTAGTATAACGCTTTAGAATACTTATACTTAGGCCTTTAATAACAACCTCGTTACGGGCGGCTATATTGCGTAGCGCATCGGTAAAGTTAAGGCCCTATATACGACGGCTATAGACCTCTATAAAGTTTCGACGTAGTACCCTAAGTAATATACGCTTTCTAGGAATAATAAGTATTATAAGTATACGCTCGAGAAACGGAAGAGATGCGACTAGAAGGGTAGCTTCCTCGTTAGAAGACTTAGGCTGCTAGCCTAGACTACGAGACTCTATCTTAGCAATTTCAACTAAGTCTGCCTCGAGTTAGGCCTCTTTTTCTTACTAACGACGACAGAGAGCCTCTTCCTAGTCCTATTCTCGCGCGCGTTACTACTAAAGATAGTATTCCTACTAAGCTTATAGAGTCTATAGATCGCGCTACTGTTAACGCTTGTTACGCTTAGCGGCCTTAATGTCTAGGTACGGTAGGTCGGAGGAAAGTATAGCTCTAGGCGGCAACGTTCGCTGCTTCTTACGGCGAATATAATTAGTATAGCGGTCGATATGTAACTTATATAGCTTGCCCTTAAAGCGGTCGTAATTAAAAGGCTCGTTAAATAGGATATTATCGAGGTTGCGGAAGCGAGAGTAAGTAATATAAGTTAAGGTAGGCGTAAAGTCCTTCTTAGAGATATTAAGAATACCCTTATCTAATATTATACCTTACGACTTATAAACTATAATAGTATATACGATAGTTAGTAGGAACTAAGTATAGATATATTAGCTATTAGTGCGATCGTTATACTTCTATTCGCGCCGAGAAGGCACAATAGGTACTATATTCGATAGTAGACTATTAACTTCCTAGTTTAGTGTCGGTCTAGAATACTCGTCTAGCTCGACTAGTATAATAGCCGGTATATCCTCGTTAACAACCTCTTAATCGGTGCGTAATGCGTCCTTAGCCTAGATTATATCGCGGACGGTACCTATACTGCTATTAATAATACCCTACTATACCTAAAGGTTCTTAGTTACTATAACGCGGGCGTTAATATAGATTAGAAGGATCTTATATAGGTTTCCGCTAGTCTCGTAGTTAGCTTAGGCAGTATAACGACCTATATATTTAGCCTTAATAGGCTTAATTAGTTGCTAATTGTCGCGTATTAAGGTATAGTTAAGAGTCGATACCTACTTCTTATAACTAAATAGCCGGATCGCATCCTTATATTGCACTAGATAAGAATAAGAAGCATCTCGGATACGGGTCGTAAGAGTCTGCTATTACTTAATAGTTAACTTGCCTAGACCTATATATAGACCTTTAAGCGTATCTTTAAATGCCTATACTGCTAGGTTATTTCCTTACTAGCGTTAAATAATATTAAGCTAAATAGTCTCGTTAAAGAGATGCTATATATACCGACCTAGGACAACTTTAGGTAAGTTAGTTAGGGTCGGTCTACTAAAAAGAGGGCGGCCTCTAATCGGGAGTAATTAACTAAAGTCGCTATATATATAGATAGTAAAGCCTCGGAAAGGCAATAAGGTATCGACTTCCGGATTATCTTAATCTTCTTAAGGGTAGCTTATATCTTGCTATCCGACCTGTCGTAAGCGCCTATCGATCTAGTATAGCTCTACTAAGTCAATTATTAACTTCTTATTAATAACAATATAGAGTATATTGCTTATATATACCTAGAAAGCCGACAATGCTCTACCCTTAAGCGGTATATACTCCTTTATCGTAAGAGGCAAGCGGAAAGCCGAGTAAATTGTAGAGCCCTTAATACTAAAGGCAGCAGCACTAGTTAAAGCAATTCGCATAATAGGGTTTCCTATTTAGTATTATACGCTAGCAGAATCCTACTGTTCTACTATCTCCTTAATAGCGGAAGAGAGAAGCTTAATTATATAGGACTTGCTAACGCCTGCCTTACTATTAATATTAAGCAAGATCTAATCTAGTATAGTAGCGCTATTTAGTAACTCGTTAGCGTAGTTATAGATACGATTATACTAGAGCCGCTGTTCTAGGGAGAGGCTATTAACTTTCTGCTATAGGTTTACAATACTACTAATCTTCTAATAAGCATTACTAGTACTACGCTTGTTCTTCTACTAGTCCTTAAGCTAATGTCCGAGATCGTAACGCCTAATATAAGGAGTCTAATTATAGTCCTTATCTAACTTACGATTGCTAAGGTTGTTAAGGTCTTCCTCTTCTTCTATAGGGTTACGATTAGAAATAGCGCGTACGAGAAGCTTACCCTTAGCTTCTTCCTCTTCTAGATTATACTATTCTTCTTTAAACAGGTCTTTAGTCGGTATAGGCAGATTAATGCCGAAGTAGTCGAAAGGATAGTAAGTATAGTTATAAGAGCACTAGTTATAAGCATCCTACTAAGTATAAAACTCTTTATCTACGTAATCGCTAAAGGTATATAGAAGAGTAGGGTATTAGCTATCGAATAGGTAATATAATACGATCTTAGTGCGATAATAGTCCTCGTACGTGCTATTATCTTCCTCCCGATTGCCGGAGTACTTCGGAAAGTAATTAAGCAGGCGAGCTTTTGCCTAAGGTCGCATCTTAAATATACTAAAGTCCTAACGAGTTAAGAACTTAAAGAGGGTAAGATTAGGCCGGTTTAGGAGGTCCGACTTAGCAAATTTCTTAGGTAAGATACTAAGACGATCGATATACTTAAGCAGCGGTAACTTACCCTATATAACGATCTCGCTAGCTCGCTTATCGTATCGCTTAACTTTCGTTTAATTCTAAGGAAGGCGACAATCGAAGCTCTATACTTAACGCGAGCCTTATAAAAGAGGTAAACTAAGTAACTAGTAGCAGGCTTCCTATACTAAAATATCTCTCTTACCGATAAGCTTATTTATTATCTTTACGAAGAAAGAGACTATAGGCCGATTAGTATTCTATAGATAAGGACTAAGCTACTTAGCAATATCGAGCAATAGTATACTACGCTTCTCTGCCTTACTATAGTACTTAGTAAAGGACGGAAACTAATACTACTACTACTACTTGTAGCAATAGTACAGGCTACCGAGGGTAACATAACCTATAGCAATATAGGCAGCTATGTTTAGCAAGATAGGATAACGAGACTGTCGCCTAGGCTAATAACTAGAGCCCTATAATATAGGCATTGTAGAAGTGTAATATAAACAATGTGCTATACGAGGTTAATAATCTATCTACTCTATAGAAGGAGGCCTCTTATATAGGCTTAAAACTAGCCTATAGGTGTAGGGCCGGTTACTAGCTAATATCCCTCCCTTTCTTCGTATCTAACTAGACACGTTTTACATTATGCGCGCTTAAAACAAATATGTATGCATCCTTAGCGCTCTTAGCTAAGGCTATTCTTAGAACTCCGCAATAATACCCCCGGGGTAGCATTAATCCTAGATACTATAATTATATAAAAACAACTTCCTAAGCAATACTATATAGACCTACTATTGCTTTAACGCGCCGTAATCCTTACTAGCAATAACCTTATCTGCTAGTCGGCTCTCGAAATCTCCTCTGTATACGTTAAAGCTGTTAGTACCGAAGTACTATCCCTTATAGAAAGCTTAATTAACGAGGAGGTTAGTAGCCTTTTCCGTCGTAGCATTCTCCTAATTATATAGATATTCCTTAAGTCCCTCGTTATTAAGCTAGAGGATCTGTTTAACTTCGTTCTAAACAACGTAACTTAACTAAGGAATCCTACTAACTAGGGCGTCGGAGATATAGCCGAGGCCTTCGACTAAGATAGCTATAGGGAAAGCGAATAGTACGAAGGAGTTAGAGGCTAGGAGGGCGGTTAGATTACGGTACGCTTTAGTAACCTAAGAGACTGTTAAGTTCTCGTAGCCCTTAACCTTAGTGCCGTTAATAACGCGAGAATAGCCTAGGTTAATTAATATACGGTTGCTCTTAGTCTTTAGATTACTATATAGTAGGTATAGCATCTAAATAGAGACCTCGCACTCCTTTAGAGGGTTAAGGATCTACTCCGCTTTGCGTCCCTTACTATTAGGCTAACTATCGAATATATAGTCGAGGTCGTCGTCGGTAAGGTGCTTATTAGTAAGCTTACCGATCTTGCTTAGTAGGACTAGGCTACGAGCCTTAAGCTTCTCAACCTAGTTCGTAAAGACCTCGGGCTAATATATGCCTTCGATAATAGTAGAGTAGCTAGTCTTATCCTTAGACATAAGGTAGACCTTAATGCGTAGGTAACTAGTACCCTTGCTAGCTGCGAGCTTAACTATATCTTGTCCGAGACGAGCAGACTCCTTAGAAGGACAGTTTTCGTAAGTACCGCTAACCTTAAAGAACTTAGTAGGCTTAGGGACGGAGATAAGCTCGTATATATAATTAGGTCGAAGGGCGATAGCTAAGAGCTATAGGGCAGGGTGCTAGCGGACGATTTAGTTGCTTATACTATAAGTTTAAAGGGCATTGCGGCCTTCTTACTTAGACTTAGGTATCGTACGTATATACTAAAGATACATTTTAAACTCCTCCTATATTAGGTCGATAAGGAAAGGAAGATATGCTCTACGAGGCTCTTGTAACTAACTAAAGACTTAAGGGAAGATAGCATTGCTAGTCTAGCGAAAGCGGTCGAAGGAGGTGCCTTAGCTAAGGATACTAGTAACGAACTTGCTCTAGCGATCCGTTAGCGTAAGGGCGCGAGTAATAGTACTAGTAGGGTTAAACGCGTAGAGTCCTAGAGATATCGGGGCGGCAACAGGGCGTCTAGGAAACTAGTTAGCATAGGCCTAATTAGCCTTAAGGGTAGCGAAGGCATCTTAATTAGCGACATTACGTCTAATCTTTAATAGGCGGCTAATAAGGACACTCGTCTTAGCGCTAGCGTAAAGACCACAGACCTTAGTAGCCTTCTTAATATAGTTAGTATATATAGTAAACCGCTCTTTACCTAGCTTACTAAGGTCGTCGAGCTGTTAATAGATAGATAGGGCGGTAGGAGCTTTACCTATATCGGCTTTAGGAACTATATCGATATTAGTAATAAGGTACGCAATAGAGTCGCCCTTATAAGAACTATAGATATTCTTAGTTAATAGGATCGGCGAGAGGCCTCTATCTCTACGCTCGCTAAAGGAGCCTTCGGAGGAGACATCTTCTAGTAGTATATCTAGTATATTAATATCCGAGTTACTATAGTTAGTACTATAGTTAGTACTATAGTCGGTATTAGAAGGAGTGCTGTACTTCTTAGTAGCCTTACGGAGGGCCTAGCGAGTATACAATGCCTTCTTACGCGCTACTTCGGCCTTAGCGCGCTCGTCTTAAACTTCTTAAGGGACCTTACGGTTGCGGGTCGAGCGACGATCTTTAGCCTACATTTCTATAGCGAGCGTAAGACTAGTAGCCGTATCGGCCTCGGTTTCTAGGCGAAGAGCCTTACGTTTAAGGACATTAACGATAGGAGCCTCTTAACCTTTAACAATAAAGCCTATACTATTAATACGACAGCCCTTCTCTTTTAGTAGATCCTTAGTTGTCTATACGTTAAGATCGACCTAGACAATCGCATCGTAGTACTTCTTCTAGTAGGCTATCGTAAAGTCGTTAAGCGTAAAGGACAAGTTAAGTAACTACTTGCCTACCTTCTTGCTAGCGGTAGATATACGATAGATTATAGTATAGGAAAGATGCTCGGCGCCTTAACGACGGACCTTATACTTATTAACGAACGAAGAGACCTGCTTAGCACGCTCTTGTCTACCGTAGGCGAAGTTAATAAGGCTCTTAGGAAGACTACTTAGTCCTCCCTAATATTCGAAGGCCTAGTCGAGGGTCTTAAAGCGTAACCGAATCTAGGTACCGGCTATCTCGAGACTATAAACGATAGGAAAGGCTTATTCGATATCTATATCGTTAAGGACCTCGCGCTTAAAGATACGCTTACCGATAGACTAATATAAGTTGTTTATACCGTACGTAACTAAGATAGCAGCCTTCTTAATATTCCTATTAATAACGCGTAGCAGGGTACGAGCGTTCTAGATCTTCTCTTAAGGGTCTTTAAGGGCGCTAACGATCTAGAAGCAGTGCTCGAGGCTAGTTGTAGCAGCTAAGGCGCTATCGGAGGGGGCTTCGATCGGGACTAGTACGCCTAGGTTTAGGGCTAGTAGGTTGCTACTACTGCTAGCGCCTAGCGGATTTAGGGCGCCGGAAGACATCTTAGTCGACCGGAGCGGAAAGGAGTTAGTAACGAGTTTGCAAAAACGTTCGTAGCTTGTTAATAATAATTAAAGGGTTTAGATAGAAGAGAGGGGGGGGGGGGTAGGCGGTAGTAAGTTAGTTAGTATTCGAGTAGAAGAAAGAGCTTAGAAGGCTCGCCTTAAATAGGGTACGAAGGTAGCGTAGTCCGTATATTCCGGTAAAGCAAACGGATAACGATTATATATAGACTCTAAAAAGTAAAGCTATATACGAGACTCCTTTATTAGTAGAGCGGCTAAAGTTTAATAATCGATCTAGCTAATTGCTAGTAGCGACTACGCGCCTTTATTAACCTCTAGCTTTCGTAGATTCCCGCGCACTCGAAATGTAACTAGTAAGTTCGAGTACCTAGTAGTAATCTATAGTAGTAAGGCTAGCGGGACTAATAATACCCCCGGGGTAGTATTAGCTTTTCTCTAGAGATACTCGGCAACTAGGAGCAAATCGCCTAGGCCTAGCGTAGCTTATATTAGCCTATAGCACTATCGTTATAGATGCAGCATTACCTTTTATAGTAGCAGGTATATAAACGTAGCCCGTGCGTTCTTCTTTCTTCTAGATACTAAGCTTAGCGGCCTAAGGTCCCTATTCTTAGAGGCTATAGGCCTAGGTTGCTACGTCTATCTAAGAGCTAGGAAGGGAGAGGGATCCTCCCTTCCTTAGTGTCCCGCGTAACTAATACTAATTAGGGTAGGAACAATCTTCTCTAGCGGAGTATCTTGTTATCGTTACTACCTAAGGGCGGTTGCTAGAGACTAGGAAACTAGAGGGAAGTAGTCTTAGAAGGGCGGGAGGTTAGGTTCGGCTAGCTTCCGAATGCTACCCCCGGGGTATTATTCGGAAGTTATACCTCGTACAGTTCTTTCTAAGGAAAAACAAAAAGAGTAAAGCTATAGTAACATTAATCGAAGGTAAAAGACAAAAGAGCAAAATAATAGATAAAGTAAAAGCAAAGGAGGGCAATAACTAAGAGTATTAATATCCGTAGGAACTAGGAATAGGCAGTAAGGACTAAAGGCAAAGGGCAGCGCTATATTAACAGCGCGGAGAATGGTTAATAGAGGCAAGGAAAGCAACGTAGTAGAGGCAGGAAAGGATATACGATTATTTAGTCTTAGGGTCGTCTAGCTATAATTCTAGGCGGTCTTTATCGCTAGACTAGTTAGGTTCCTCGGAGTTAGAGTTAGATAGCTAGAAGTCTAGTTTACTATTAGAATCGGAATTAATATCGGAAACGCTCTATATATAGTTAATCCGTATATAACCCTTCCTTTGTTCTTAAGTTATTTCTAATAGCTTACTAAGACGAATCTAGGGATAGGCATAGTTCTTAGGCAGAACAGGATCTAGAATAGCGGTAGGATCCTCCTCCCGATAGGTATCTAAGGACGGTAGAGGGTCTATAGAGGCACTAACCTCCTCCTCGGTCGGCGGAGGGCGGGCAGGTTCGTATAACTTAACAATCTTCTTTAGATTAGCCCGAGGGTGAGAGTGCTTTAAGGTAGCACTATCTAGCTCCTAAAGAAGGTATACGGAACCCGAGTAAAGGACCTCCTTTACTCTATAAGGACCCTTCTACTTAAAGGCTAACTTGTAGGAGTAACTATACTCTAGCTCGGACCGGTATAGAAGGACTATATCGCTAACCTTTAGAGGCTCCTAGTTAATAGTATTATAGTCGTCGAAATACTACTTAGCCTCCTTATAAAGGCGACGTTGTCGAGCAAGTCCCTCCTAAGAAGTAGTAGTTATATCCTTAAGAGCCTTAGCGCGTAGGGTAAGGAGATCTGCTCTAGTACGAACAGACCCCTAGTCGTAAACGCTATATATACGGTAGGACAACTTAATCGGAAGAACGGCGTCCCTTCTAATTATAAGCTCTGCTAGCGTGAGTCTAGTCGTGTCGATAATAGTAGTTCAATCCGCCTAGAGAAGGGCTAGAACGCGGGTAGAGATAGGAACGGACCTATCGCTACTATTAGTTATCTTAGATAGGGTATTAATTAACGACCGATAGCCGCGCTTAATAATAGTATTCGACTAGGGATAGTATAGGGAGATACGAACGTTCTTCGCCCTATACGAAATAAGTAGCGCTTAAACCTCCTTAGCTATATTGTTCGTAGCGTTATCTAAGATAACCTCGTAAGGTGTTCCCTATCGGTAAAACAGATCCTTAAACAGGAAGGTAGCTATATTACGGGCATTAATAGCACCGCAACCTTTATAGAAATAATAGGCCTCCGGCTATTAAGAAAGACCCTCTCGAATAATATATAGGCTATTATTACGGCTAAGATAGACCCTATCGCTATACTACCGCTCCCTAACTAACTAGGTAGTAGGGATACGTAGCTCTCCTAGACGTCGGTAGCTGTTCCTAAAGTTGCACTTAGGATAGCTCTTATAGTAGCAAGAGATATTAGCCTATACGCCGTCCTACTAGTAGCGTCGACGAAGGATATCGAAGGTGCCCTCTACCGCCCGATAGCCGAGCTTATTATAAACGGAACGAAGGATTTCTTATTAGGCTGCCGGATCGTTAATAATACGCTAGAGCGGTACATTAATTATAGCCTATCGCTAAAGGATGCGATCTTTAATAAGGAACCTCCGAGAATAGCGAATAATACGACGGTATTAACTCCTTAATAGACTAGGAGCTCTCTTCGTATAGGTAAGGAAGTAGGCGATATTATAGGAGTCGTCGGAGTAGACCCTATTAAGGATATTATCCCTACCTAGTTCGCCTGCCTTAGCGTCGTCCTAGTCCTCGCCGTTAATAGTAGGGTCTTCGTTAGGCTAGTTACTAGGTTAGTCGCTAGTAGTAAACCTAGTAATTACCGGTATAGCGTTAATATAGAAGGTAGTAAAGAAGGTGCGGTTAATAACCGCGTCGATATCCTCTTCTTCTATTATCTCGGCGATATCTTCTTCTATAGTAGGCCTTCTAGAAAGGCTATCCGGTCTAGTATGCTTCTTACTAGGAACATAGAAGACGTCGAAATTAAACAAATAGATCTAGGCAACCTACCGAGCTATCGTAGAGTTAGGCAGGTCGGAGGCTATACGGTTAAGTTAATAGACTAGCGTCTAAGCGTCGACTTCTAGGCGAAAGAACACTCTAAAAAGCCAAGGTCGGAACTTCTTAAGAGCCTTATAGATACTAAGGCACTCTCGCTTACTAGTATTATATCGGGCCTCGATAGGTTTCTATAGACCGGACTCGTACTAGATAGGGTAACGTAAGGAGGGCTTCTTACGATTATACTGTATTAGTATCTCGCCGTAGCCTTCCCTACTCGAGTCGATAGCAACAATTAGTAGACCTACGCCTTCCGAGTAGTTAATAGAGGTAAGCGTAGGCGCGCTAATAAGTGCCTTAGTAACCTTGTCCTTAGCGGCTTAGTAAACGGAGGTCTATTTAAACTCTATATCCTTCTTAAGCAAAGCGTATAGAGGCTTATATACTAACGCAAAGTTTTCGACCTAGATGCGAAAGTAGGAGACTACTCTAAGCTAGATCCGGATATCTTTCTAATAGGTAGGGTCGGGCTAGGACACAATCTTTAGGACCCGTGCATTGTTAGGATAGCGGCCGTTCTTATTAGTTACAAACCCGACAATGTTTATTCGTTTATATAGGAGCTAAAGCTTCTCCCTATATACCGTTAGGTTAGCTCGCTCTAGGTCGTAGAGGATACTATCGAGGTTCTAAATGTATTCGAGAAAGAACCTACGGATACTAGGCTCTACTTCTTTATTGTCGTACCTAGTTTTAGGGCCCTTAATGCCGATATCGTTAAGGAAAGGTATCGCTATATAGGAGATATAGGCCGCGAGGACTTGGTTTATAATACGAACGAACTAGGCTACGGAGTTAGTTGCCCCTTATAGAAGGGTAGTTTGTCTATATAGCCTAAGAGGTGTCTCGAAACTAGTAAGGTTACGGCTATTAGAATAGAGAGGGATCTAGTCGTAGCCCGAGAAAACATTAACTAGTAAGGCTACAATACAGTTAGTAAAAGCTTCCGAGAACCTATTAGTCTCTAAAGGGAGGTTAGCATCTCTAATTATAACTGCGTTAAACTTTTGTATAGCGTTAATTAGACGGTACTTCTTTAGTTCCCTAGGAGCTGTCTTCTTCTAAACTAGGAAGTATAGATTGCGATACGAGGCATAGGAAGGCTCTAAGGTGCTAGCCTTTATACGCTGCCGTATTATATCCTTAACTATACCTCTTAGGCTTAGGTTTAGCTTAAACCCTAGGTAAGCCTAAGGCTTATACTCGATCGTTCGGATCCTTTATAAAGGGGCAACCTCCGGGTTAATCCTACCTAGATACGTAAAGTTATATACTAATACGGCTTCGCGGTTATATAGAAGCTCGTATAGCAAATCTAGTTTAAGATCCGAAAGCTCGATGCTAGGTTTGATATTAGCTAGTCTCTCCGGCGTTAGCCTCGATCCCCTAGGAATAGCGGAGAACTTTTTAGTAATATACCTCTAGTCGTATAGACTATCCCTAGGTATTAATATCGCTTCGCGGTTAAGGCACTTTTGTCGCTAGTTAGGATTTCCGCTAGGATTAGACCTATCGGTTATATGTACGCTACCTTTTATAGGCTTGATCTTGTTAGCTACCCTTTTATATAGGGTATATATACTAACCGCTCGTAATACCCGAGCCCTCTCTCTTTAACGTTAGGCCCGGAGATTAGCGTAATAGAATAGCGCGTAAACTTTATTAGAAGTCTCCTTAAGTCGGTAGGTATATAGCTAGTAATCCTAATTTATAATTCCGGCGAAAACGTTAGATTCCTAATAATACCCCCGGGGTAGTATTAGCTCGGCGCTCTAATTAGTTAGTTCGGATTCGGGCTCGGGTAGATCCGCTTCTAGCGGCGATGCCTACGACAGTATTATTACCGAGATTCGTATACTAGGTTATCGTTGCCGGGTTGTTATACTCGCTATCGCTTCGAGTATTCGCCTCCTTAGTATAGAGCCTAGAAACTTACCTTAACGTACGGAGCGGCGTACCTCTAGATATAACCTATTTAAGCTATACTAACTTATAGCGCAGATTGCCGGTCTTACAACCGCGCTATAGCGTTTCCCGAAGAGCGCTTAGAAGCAGCAAGGATATCCTCGTAGGACTTGTAGCTAGTGTTTCCGATATAACTAGTAAATACGACTCGGTTACCCTTCTAGTTAGCGATAGTTCCTTCCTAGGAGCTATCGTCGCAGTTGCGCTAGACACCCCGGGTTATATAAAACTATAGACGACCTAGAATGATTAGCGTATTCGGGTTAGCGGCAATCTAGAAGGTAAAGGAAAAGCATATACCGAAAGCGTCTACTATAATATTATAGTAGGTACCTACTAGCGCAACCTCCCTATTTACTCCCTATATACTAAGGGAAATATCTCTATTTATTAGCAGTCGGAGCTGTTTAGCCTAGCGCTTACTTATAATAAGTAACTCTAAACTATTATTAAGTATTACTAGCAACTACTAACTATAGCTTCTAATAGTAACTTAAATATAGATAGCGGGAACGATAGCAAAGGAACGGGTAACTGCGGAAAGGTCTATATTATTAGGGATAGAGTAAAGTTCCTTAGGTCGAGGAGGTTCTACTCGACCGATTTGTTAGCTAGTAAATCGGACAGCCTTAATAGAAACTAAAACCGAAGCAGGATCGGTATTATTATTATTCCCTCGGCCTATCTCCTTAATCCCCTCTTCGTTAGCATTATCGATAGTCTCCTAGCTCTCGTAGGTTACTAATTCGCCTTCTACTAACTTCTAGGCCTCTAAAAATTTAGGAAGGAACTATAGGGAAGAGACGTCGATATAGTCCTCTCGCCCCTATTTGCGTTAGAGGGCTATAAGGTCTTTTATAAAGGTAGTATCGTTAGGAATCCGGCTCTAGAACAGGTTAGTAGGCAAACCGTATACTAGAAGCTCCCCTATAGACACGTTAGACTTAAGGTCTAGGAACTATAAAGCCTAGAAGAGAGCATTTGCCTTTGTATCGTAAGAGTTAGTAG